ACCCCTCACTCAATGGAAACTTAAACAGCTTTTTAAGAATGAGGCAAGTTTTTCAGTTTGTTGCTAAATTTAGCTTGGCCCTGTGCAGGCGGCAGGTTCCTGAGCCATTTTCAACAAAGATGAGCCGTAGGCCTTGCCCAGGGCCCAGCGGGTGGCGGCTGCCGGTGGTCTGCTGTTCTCTTATGCACCAGCTTTAAAGTAAACACTGCAATTCTGCGGTCGCCAACGCCATGGCAGCCAGCAAAAGGCCTTACTGTGTGGCAGCACACAGCTCTGGTGTGCCGTCTCCCAGACTTCTCCTCAGGCCTCCCTCTCAGCACCAGAGGACTGGGGTCGAGGGCCAGCAACACCCATGATGTATGAGCCCCCAAACCCTAGCTGAACTCCCTTGCCTTTCACCCCTGAAGTTTAGATCCCATTGTAGGTCGGCTAACAAAGTGCTTCTTCATCCACTTAGCTGTGGTGTATCTTGCTCTGCTGTGAAGAATGATTTAGTATAGATGGGGCATTAGAAAATAACTCTATCCACCTCCATTATGCGGTAAATATTTGTGTAGTTTATGTATGGTTGGATGGTGGGTTGCTAAACAAACCGACCGTTTACTGGAAGGACTTTCCCTCCAGACGATTAGATAAAATCAAGACATGTTTGTGCATGCGGCTTGCTCACCACTGAAACGTTGACAGACCTCATAGGATGCCACCTGCTCTTCATCTCTGAAACAAGTGGTAAAAATCTAGTTTTTGCCGAATGCGATACCATTATATATTTGCCATATTTTGATACCTGGCCTAGAGAAATCTGTAAAAGGCAGAATAACCACTATAGAAGTAATAGTTGGAGTACTGTACTATATAATGGTCAGCATTCAAAAAAAGAGAAGGATTTTTTTTTTATTTTAATGGAAGTTAATGTAAATGAAATTTCACAAAATTCAAAGGGCAGCTGGCATTTTCAAAATATGTACAATATGTAAAATATGTATATATGGAAAATAATAACAAAAGTAAACAACAAAAACAGAGATATAAGGTTGTGTCCTGACTGTAAAATACAGTCATATGCAAAAGTTTGAACACCCCCAGTCAAATTACATTTTGTTTATTTTAAGTGAAAATAAGTTTACATTCTTTACAAGGAAAAACTTAAATAGGGCATTTTCTTCTCATTTTAGATGCACACTTTATTTATTGGCTGAATTTAACATATTGAACATTTTATTGTTGTTAAACATGTTAAATTCAGCAAATCAACAGTAATTGTGAATGAAAATGAGCAGAAATGTGTTCTCTGTAGAGGATGTATTAACTTTCACTTAGGAAATTAACTATACATGTAATTAAACTTTTGTGATTGCGTTTATGGGTTTATGCGTTTATAACACATTAATGCTCCAGTTATGGAGGAACAAGGATCTCAATGAGTGACATTTCATGTGCCGTAGAGTTACTTTCTTTCTCAATTCTGCATCACTTCTAGCAAGAAACAAAATTAACTCACTGGGTTTCATGCAGAAGAATTTGGCAAACCCACAGACAACTGAGAACAAGGAGAAGGTGGCATCAGTTAATGCTAACTGGTAATGTTTGCGTCCACAGTGAAGTGAAAAATAGATGCCCCATAGAAGCCAGGCACAAGCAGCAGAAAACTGGTGGGAGGTTTGGGGAGGGTGGGGGAAGCAGCCTTGTAGGTTTCCAAACTTCTTAGTGTTGCTAGCAGAAGGATTTACTGTAACTCTCAGACAAGCATTCACAGCTTGGGCTCTAAACGGTCTGTTGGCGAGGTGGCCATGTTGTCTCTGGCACAGAATCAAACCCACCGAACTGAGGTCCAAAAGTACCTACACAACACAAACCCGTGGGATGTTTGGATGATAAATTGCCGACGTTCAGCGGTAGAACAAAAAATATTGGCCTTGCTGGGGACATCAGTCTTAATAATTTCACAGCAAGATGGCATGCTGGGTGGTTTGGTCGACCAAACCTGGTCTCTTTCTCAAGTGACATATCATTCACTTAAAGCTGGTTTGTAGCATAGAAGAAATCCAGTGCAGGTGCCATATCAGAGTTTGTCCAAGTGCTGAGAGGGTCAAGTGCCAGTGGTCAATGGGGTAACACAGAGGGTGTTAAATGACACATTTTATTCATTTACTTGTCTCAGTGAGCAGACCACAGAAAATCTTTTTTTCCACAAAAAAAGGCTTTTCTTGGTAGCAGAGTTCAATTACCTATGATTACACTTGGACTTCTTTAGTTCTGCAACAGCCAAGCTGCTCTCTGCACATCTTTCTGCCAAGATCAGGTTTTTATGTCACATATTCATGTATGTTTATGGGACAGAACCAGAAACCATAATAGATATTACATTTAAACCGTATGCAAGAAATATAGGGCTTGATAAGGTAATTTCGAATTCTTTTATATGTTTTTCTTGCCCCAACAGACTGAAAGTGACACCTGGTTTCAAGAATGTGGGAACATGAAGCATGGAACAAGTGTAGAAGGCGTCTCCTTCAGCATTCACCACTGAACAGAAAACTATTCACCAGCTGTCTTCACCAGTGAATAAGTGGCACAATCACCTAAATTCCATTTGATTTCCATTTTACTGATGTTTTTCTTAATATATGCTGTAACTAAGCAGCTAAGAGAAGTCCAGGTCTAAATCAATCTTCCAACAAGCAAGGCAAAGGTGACAGCGGTGGGGAAAATGGTCCGAGACAGAATAAGACAAATATGTGATTAAGGAAAAAGGGGAAATTATCCTCCTTTGCTAGTTTGCTCTAGAGAATTTATGATTCTGGAGATTATAGGTTATATTACAACCAAAGGGGATATCTAACCTGGGCTTGTTCCTGTTCCTGTTAGTAAGGTCATCCTAAATAAGATATGAATCTGATCCTAAATTAGCACTCCTACTCTAAGAAGCTTTGTGAATGCAGTTATTGGTCATTAGGGTGAATAAAATGTGGGTTCAGAGAGTTCAAAGCATAAATATTAGACAATCCATAATGGATAGTACAAGTATTTCACATTATATTTATTTTACATTACATTATATTATTTTTCATATTACTATGAATAGTATGGCAAAAAAATGAAATATGCATATCTCACGTTACCTCAAATATAGTCAGTCTAGACATGTTTGGTGATCAAAGTGTTTTGCGCTGGAATGGTAAGGCTAGTGTAGCTGACAAGTAATGGAAGCTCATATCCCACCAATTAGCATAATGCAAACTGCAGGCCTTAATCAAACAGACTTGCTTCAAGACTTGCTTCTGTGGTTTAGACACTGTATGACATATTGTTATCTATAAAAGTGCTATAGAAATAAAATGTACTTACTATGAAAATAAGGAAAAAGAGCAGCATAAACGTCCAGCAGGCTCTCTTGTTGTCTTTTCATGCAACCTTAAAGCATACAATTCGTCCATTTTTTTAAACAAGGTTTTCTAAGCGTGTGTGATAATTAAGAATCAGGATCAGGATTTACTGGCCAGGTAAATTTGCACAAACAAGGAATTTGTCTTTGGTTGCATAGCAAGCTCACAATTTGTAACAGTAGCAGTTTACCCTTCATGTGATCACAGACGTGTTCTAACATGCATGCATGCAAAAAAAGTGCAAAATGTTTGTGTAAAGTACAGAATACAGCGTCCAGATAAAACATAGCAAATACTGAATTAAATTTTTAAAATGCATGATGCTTATTAGTATACATTAAATTCCATCACTTGTTAGCCACAACAGTCTTATTGCTTCAGGGCCAAACCAAGGAAGCAAACTTCAAACACCAAACATCTCTTGGCTGTTCAACTGCATTTGAGGTAAGTGGAAAATTGCATAAATTTTAATTTTAAACTATTTCTGTAAGTGAAAATATAAGCAGGCAATAGGACAACAATGCATGTGTTCACTGTAGGGGTCACATGGTCATTAAGAGGCAGAATAGAAAGAGGTGTCAGTGGAAACTTTTATACTTGCAAAGGAAAAATGAAAATGATAAAAAATAAAAAATAAGCTATATTGTAGCGTGATAGAACTTGCATCACTCAAGAGACACCTATTTCAATTCATTTAGAAACACTTAAGCCACTCTAAATACAGGAAAACATTAATGTGTAGTCTGTGAATATTACTTACTTAAAGTATATTAACACGGGTTATATAGGCCTTTAAATGAAGTGTTACTGTTTCGCGGGATCTTCAAAAACCACCTTGACCATTACATGGCTACAAGGTTTGCTTAGAAGGGGAGGAGACCTACCCGCAGGCTTGATTTCATTGAGGTTATGGTCAGGCTCTCTTGGGGCAGTGGTCAGCCAAGGTTGTTTGCTTTTTTCACCCAGTTCTGCACATCTCTTGGGAAGGGAGGGTCTCAGTGCTCAGTGAGTAAACCTTTTCTACCAGCTCTGGTGGTAAAATGCCACATTAAGAATTTCCATTGGACACTGGCCATTTCAGTTCAATTTCATTTCAATTCAGCCCATTTAGAACATGACTTCAGTTTGAGTTCTTAACTGAACTCGAACTGACCTTAACTGTAGTCACAATAAGCTCATGTACAATGTTTATTTATTGTATTGAAAGAGTGGTCTCCAAAGAGGTGCCTTGCAAGGTGCCTTGCATAAGAGATTCATCTGGTTGACCAAATATTAAACAAACAGAATTACGGTTAAGGGCTTTAAGCTACTACGCCCTCTCCTGTCCATTCTTTAGTGTTCCCCTCTCTAGGAGCCGGGGAGCCACCCTCTTTCCACTGAAGGTGTGTGCCTGTGTGTTTCTCAGTCTGTGTGTGTGGGGGGGTGTGTGTGTGTCAGTCTGGTGTACACTTTGGCAGGAAGACACACACACATACACACACAAGTCTGTTGAGTATGCAGCACTTTCTAATTTTTCATGCTCATTCTGTTATACTTGCTGGTGGAGTACCAGGCAGCATCAGAGACGCCCACAACTTAGAGTGAGTGCCATAAATCTCATTCAGCAGCCTGAGCGTCCAGCAGGTTCTCCTGTCATCTTTTCACTCCAGCAGGCATCTGAAGGCAAAAAAGAGGACTTCGACTGAGCCTGGCTTAGTGATTACTGGATGTGCTACATTGGGATATGCTGCCATTCACCCAGCAACTAATGCGATCCAGACATGGTTTAGTTAGGGCACATGTACATGTTTGATGTACTATATCCATCAGCAAGATGATCAAGAGATGTAACACATGCTGAACTACTCTGCAGGAGTATATGTAAGTATAGCTCCTTCATTGTATTTCCTAATCACCTGATTTGCAGGTTGTGTATAGGCTAATTGCTTGCTCAGTAATTATATCTAAATAATTATATTATGTCTAAATAACGAGAAATATTTCAATTTTTTAAAAGGGTGTTAGTCTCTAGCATTTAACATAGCTATACACTGGATATATACACAGGGTATATATATATATATATATATATATATATATATATATATATATACAGGGTCTGAGGCACTGTGAAGCAAGTGGTTACATAATACTGAAAAAGTCATACTACTACTACTGAACTACTCTACTGCAAAAGGCCTATTCTATATTAAATGCTCAAGGATATACTCTTAAGCTGGCAATCACACTTCATTTTCCATTTCATATGACTCTTTTCCAGATGAGGGTCTTCAGAGTTTTGTGGATAAGCATGATGCTAAGGCAGTGGAGTTTTGCCGTGCTCTTACTGAGCATCCCTCTACCTGTCCAAGGGAGACCCATCCACGCACTCAGCAACAGACTGTACGTGTTGACACCCCGTAAAGGCACAGTTGATTAAACATAAATATAATGGTTAAGATTGTTATCCATAGCCAAATGCTATATTTACACTGCCATCTACTGCCAGAAGGAGGAAAGTTCATCTGACATTAATCACCAAATGCTGTTACACGCACAATCCAACCATTCAGCTAATTATCACGCCCTTCTTCACGCTCCTAAAAATGAAGGTGCCAAAAGGTTCCCTAAAGAACCTTTCAGTGGATGGTTCTTTGAGAAACCATTTTGTAAATGAGATGTGTGAGTGTGAATTTTTTTTAAAGTTCAAAGAACTTTTATATAATCTAAAGGAATGTGAAAATAAGTTAATACATCCTGCATTTTCCTGCTAATTTTAGTGGTGCACAATTTCCTATTTACTGAGTTTAACATATTAGAAAAATTAAAACATACAATGTGCCATAAATTTTGCACAGGACCTGCTTTATGCCTTATGTTTCCCCCAATATGTTAAATTCAGCAAATAAACAGTAATTGTGTATTAAAGCATGCACAAGTGTGTTCTCTGTGGAGAAAATCAACAAAACATGTCATTTGACCAGGGGCACCCAAACTTCTGCACTTTTTAGAACGTGATTATCTTCCTTTCAGGAAGCGGTCTGTGAGCCACGCCCAGCTGATGCACGATAGAGGACGATACCTGCAAGACAGAAAGAGGCGGCTGTGGCTGCAGGAGCTTTTCAAGCAGGTGCACACTGCCAACGTGTGGGACGCTCCCTCAGACAGTGGCTTCAGCCTTCAGACCGTTACCTGGAGCGCCCACGGTCCCAAGCCTGCCAGCAGCACCAAGGACTTCCCCTTGGACTTTGAACTGGAGAGCACAGGCACCAGTGACACTCTTCCCCAAGAGACCAACAAGGAGCAACCTCTGCAAGCTGCTGCCAAGAGAAAGAAGAGAGTGTGCATGGGGAAGTGGAGAGATGGCAATAAACGGAGAGGATGGCCATGCTCAGCCCACGCTGCAGTGACAATGAGGGGTCAGTGACTGGAGTGATGCAGAAAGGGGAACAGAGACTGTAGGCCACAATAAGACTGTGAAACAAGTGTGAAGAGATGCCATCAACCACTCTGGAGCATGGTTTCTGCACCAGTTCGCTAATGTCTGTCACCAGGAGAAAGAAAACACAGTGTCTGACATAATGCATTGTCCTATGCTCTGTATAAAAACACACAGGTTTATACACTTAGAGACAGTTTCCTGAATACAGATTAAACCTAGTCTTGAGCTAAATGGTACTGACAATGGAGATTTACCATTGAAAACCTTTTTTCAGTCTAGGCAAAAATTTTATCTGGTTCTAGGAAACTGCCCCTTTCTATTTTTTATACAGTTAGAGCCTTCGAGCCTTTGTTACTTTTTACTAAGTATACAGATAAAAGGTTGGTGTCTCTATTTGCCATGAAACCGAAAATTCTTTACACAATCTACATAACTAACCAAGCATATTTGCATTTATTTATTTGATTAGAAATGTGTATATTTATTCTGTGAATGTATTACAATGCTGCTGTTTTTTCTACAAGTTTCAAGTAATGCACTTTTGACAGCTGTGCTATGCTCCTGTACATCAGCATCTTCAGTATTTTGTTTGATATTTCAGGCTTTTCTACTATTTCTGTGACAGAAATAAATCCTGCTACGCATTTCATTTTTGATTTTTTCAGTAAAAAAGGATGAGCAATACATAATAAGGTGCAAAGAAGGTGCGTCCTAAAGGGTTCTTGGTAAGATCATTCTCCACACTATCAGATCTTTTGTTATTAATGATGCCCTATAATAATAAATATTCCATTCCATGAGGACTACAGCTCAGGTCATATATGTATGCTAATGTTGGAACAAAATGGTGTGTGTACAGCTGTGTACTAACCTGCTAATGGAAGAGAAATGTAATGCACCCCTGTGTCAACTTCCTGAGTGTTTTAGCAACAGGCCATAAAGAGTGATAAAAGAGCAGAGACTGAGTCACAGGAATGGAGACAGATCTACACAAATCAATTCAGCCTAACAGGACTACTGTACTGCAGGGAGGTGTTACACAGGAGACAAATAGATAGAAAACAACAATGTCAAAATTAAGAAATGTTTGGGGGAAAAATGAATTGCATTTTAACTGGCATGTTTACATTCGAAAACTATAAGATGATGTTTATCCTCCTAAAATAGCTGATTGTTGCATATTTGTATTTAACATGTATAACATTGAAATTGAAAGTAAAGTTATTCCAGTTGCAATTCTAGTTATTCCAATCTCTAATCACCTCTTTGAAAGTTTTAATGAATCTCTTGCCTCTCCATGTAGATGTGTCTTTGTAGGGTAAAAGTGGTGCTGTCCCTTTAAATGCAACTAACTCATTTGGAACTAATAGCCTGATGTTCCTGATGGGCAATCTCATCTCATCCCACTTTGTGCTTGGACAGTGCAGCTGACTGCAGAGCACAAAATGTTTAAATGCTGCTTAGAGTGAATTTTTTTTTATTCCATCGATGGGCGAGAATCATTTATATTTGGTGAAACAGAGACTACTCTCACACTGAGCATCAACTATGGTGAGTAACCTTGACAAAATACAGTCATATGGAATAGTTTAAACATCCCTATTCAAATTACATGTACTGTTGATTTTTTAAGTAAAAATAAGTTAACACATCCTCTAAAATATGGACTTTTTCTGTAAATTTTAGTGCAAAATTTCTGTTTATTTGCTGAATTTAACGCACTAGACAAAATAAGTAAAAAATAAATAAAACATTTGCACAGGCCACATTTAAGATTTATTAATTAAATTAATTAAAGCACTACAAGCAGTAAAAAAGTCATGTGAAAATGAAAACTTGAAATTTAAATGAAAAAATTGTGGCAGCCTGAAGAGGATGGATTCTCTTTTTAAGTCTTGGTTATTTTCAATGTTTATTTCTTAGGCTTTAAGTTTTCCTTGTTGCCTTAGGCTTGCTTATTCAGGTTTGGACCCAGATTTCTGTAACGCTGCTTTGTGACAATGTGTGTATAAGTAAAAGTGAATTGAATTCAAAACTGTTCCTAGCCAGAGTGCTGCAAAACCTCTGCTTTGGCTTATCACACAGGCTTTTAGAAACCGCTATGGGGTGATTTTTGCCTGCACCTGTGGAGTAATCCTGGGCGTGGGCTTCGGTGCCAACCTGCTGGTGTTCTCCCTCTTTGCTAAGCACAACACTCTGCGCAAGAACCGTCTGGACGCGCTCCTCCTCAGCATGGCCCTGGCAGACTTCCTCAGCCTGCTCCTCATCCCCTTCACCCTGCACTCAGCTGTCAGCTTCTCCTGGCCGCTGGGAGACACGTCCTGCAAGATCTACCAGTTCCTGCTGGCTTTCACCCTAGCCGCCAGCACCTACTCACTGTGTGCTGTCTCGATGGCCCGAGTCATGATCATTACCAACCCTTACCACCCGCCCACCACAGACCTGGTGGTGCTGATGCTCGTCATGGCCTGGGCTTTAAGCTTCGTCATCAGTTTGCCGTTGCGCATTTTTGCTACTAAGGAGAGCCTGGGGACAGGGCTGACCAACTTCACCTTCTGCCTGCCCACCATCCAGGAGCACCACTATGAGGTGATACTAAGCCAGTTCGTGCTCTATTACTTCATACCAATGCTGGTTATAGCAGTCAACTATGTGCGGCTCACTATATTCCTCCACAAAAGCCCTGTGATGTCCACAGTCAGCGCCAGGAACACGCGCAGAGCTTCCCTAATGGTGTTCCTGGCTGCTGGGACGTTTTCTGTGTGCTGGCTACCAGGGTATATCCTGGAGCTGTGTGTATATCTGGGCCTCTATCAACACGGTCAGTCCTGGGAGATGTTCTACTTCACCTGCACCGTGCTCCAGTACCTGCATCCGTGCGTTAACCCTGTTCTGTACGTGCTTCTGTCCAAGCGCTACCGTGGCAATCGGGGAGTGTGGATCTTTCACTGTGCCCGCAACAGGGTGCACCCTCAGGTCACCAGCATGACTGAGAGCTTCTGACAGTCAAGAAAATGAGTACTCACTAAAGACTTTTTTGAGAAAAGATTTTAAATTATGATTCATTTTTATCTGATTCATGACATAAGGTCATATGCAAAAGTTTGAAAATCCCCAGTCAAATTACATGCTCTATTGATTTTCTAAGTGAAAATATGTTCGTGCGTTCTCTACAGGAAACAAACTGAAATAGGGTATTTTCTTTTTTTTTAGAGCACAGTTTCTATTCATTTGCTGAGTTTAACATATTGGGAACAAATAAACATAAAATATAACATATAAATATAAAATACATACATTTTATGTTACTGGTGAGCCCAAATGTAGAAAAATGTATTCTGATTTTGGTTCAAGAAAACTACCCTTAATTCTGTTTGAGCAGACTGTTTAAAGATAGATGTGTTGCAATTATTAGACAAGTGAAGTTCACTTTTATAGCACATTTCATGCACAAAGGCAATTCAATGTGCTTTACATAAATAGAAGAAAAATGAACACCAGAAGGAAATTAAAGACAATGTGCTTAAGTGTATAAAATATATAAAAAAGTGAGGAAAACCACCATCTGTAAGATATTAACCCCTTAAATGGCCAGGGCCTACTGACAGGCCCAAAGTTTTATTACACACTTCTCTAACCTAAAAACAGCTCAGCCAGTTTGCATTGGAGCCCCTGTAGTTACTGAATAACAAGCCTTAGTATGTAATAAGCCTGGGATTTTAAGGTGTTAATCAATCCGCAGGATAACAGTGCTAACATTTAACCACCAGGAGTGTTGATTAAACCTAAGAGACAATTATACTCAAAACTTTTCCAGCTCCCTGAGTAAGGAAGATCCAGATTACTACCTTTCACTGGATGAATGGCAACCATAACAGGATTATACTTTGAAACAATACAAAAAACGCTGAGGTATTCTTATTAAGTTTTAAGTGTTTTATTTCTGAGAATCCCTGCACTTTCAAACACATAGCCCAGGTGATCGAGAACACTGAAATATTAGTAGCTTTTTACTATCTTTCACCCTCTTGGTTCTTCCTCTTTCTCTCTCTCTCTTTCAACTGTACTTTATGCCACGGACGGCATTTACACAGAGCCTGAGCTGAGCTGTTCTTCCCCTGACTGAACACACACACACACAGACACACACACACACACACACACACAATTAACTTTATTTATTTGATGTTAAATTAAATATCTGTGAGGGACTGAAATGTTTATAAAAGCTTTTACTCTCAGAAACATGTCCTACCTGTTTGACTCAGCTGGTGGGCTGGATGCTGTGGTCTGAGATGTTGTCCCTCTAACTGAAGTAAAAAAACAAACACCATAAGAAACATGCAAACTACTGACGGTCCTCCAGTACAGCAAAATTAACAATGAATTATTCAAAGGGCTGGCTAATTTAAGAAGCCATTCTTGCTCATATTTGACCAAAGAGACACAAAGAATAAGTCTTAATTTCATGAAGTATGAAATATAAGAAAAAGCAGTAACTGTCTTCATTATACATATATTTGTGTATTTGTGTTAGGGCTGTCACTATTGATTATATGAGTAATAGGGTAATCAAAGAATCTAGCAATTATTTGGACAAATAATAAAGAAAAAAGTCCAAACATTAAAAATGGACTAAACTGAACAATAATATGCTGTCCAGAATACTTTACTGAAAAAAGAAGGCTCTGAAAGTACTTCATATATCAATAAAACACTGTGTCAAATTCTCTATAGTAATTTCAATGTCAGTGCCAAGCTACTGATGGTTTTCACTTTCACATATACTTTAATATTTGAAACACTTGAAGCCTGTAACAAGCATTCTAGTGGCATATTCCTTAATACATATGCAGTTTTACAGTCAATACTTTTGTAAAGCCTAAGTAAATATTATCAGAGGAGTCTGGTAGCCTGTTAGTTGTCTTCTGAGCTGTTCTGCCTAGACCTAATCAAACAAAGCCTTTCGCCTAATATACATTTTTACTTCAAACGCACACAATTTGTAACATACATGATTTAATTTTACTTCATATGTATGAAACTTGTGATTACAAGAATAATTGTGTTTGTAAGATCTTGCTGGTGTGGGTTTCTTCCTTTTCAGTGATGTTTACAAACTTGACTTGAGTGCTAATAGCTCCCACTTATGGAGAATTCAAACTGCAAACTAATTACTAAACTCCAGCTAATTGGTTTTAATTAGTCAAGGCAGGCCTAATTCATATTGTCTACTACCAAGGTTAAAACTATGCTCACACTGAACTGGAGAGAGTCTGCCAGTAGTCTTGTCTACTGCAGCCAGGTGAGAGAGGCGTGGTAGTTTTATGGGTTTGAAGAGGTGGTCTTTAGAATTAGAGGTATACTGAAAAGCAGACACATGCTGAGAGGGCAGAGTGGAGGCCTGCAGAGACCTAGAGTCAAAATCTGAAGAACACATCCATATGAACAAAAACTATGGGCAGTAACACACAGAGGGATACAAACTCGACAAGAAAACAGCATTAAAGAGTGAGATTAATGCTAATCTGTGGCCTCACCATTAAGGAGCTGTCCAGAACTGAGCTGCAGCCTGCTCCTCACATAATCAGCCATGAGATGCTGCACATACTCAGACTACACCAGAAAACACACACACAGTTAACCAACAAGAGTTCATGCAGGAATCATCAGCAGCTACTGCTAAGAGTATCTCAGTGGGGTGATGCTACCTTTGAGGTAAGAGCTGATCTTTCTCTGTCAAAGACCAAGTACAAGACAGAGACCTGAAGATAGGAAAGACTGACTGTTACTTTTTGTATTAAATTTGAAATATTTCACTGAAGCTTTACTCTAAGCCTTGGCAAAAGCATGCACACTTACTGGTGCCTCATTACCAGAAGAGACACCTTTCTTTTTCTGTTTGGTCTTATGATGTTCGCTCTCTGACACAACAGGTGGTTTCTTCATCTGAAACACAAATTCACACATAATTTCTGATCGGTGTTTCTACCTTTTTTGTGATCTCCTGTTACATTCTGGGTCAGTTTTGCTGGACAAAGGCCTCTTGCTGGGCTACACTTTCTTTTTAATAGGGGATCTCTATTGAGATTTCTGTGTAGTCCAGAACTAAGATTAATCTCTGTCTGGGAAGCCAACCACCTGTCTTTTCAGTATCCTGAATCATTTAGTACAGTAACCTCACAAGAAAATACACAGAGCTAAGATACTGCCTGTGGCAACTGAAAATTAATGGGGAATTCCAGAGGTTTCTGCATAATTCAATGGTTCAATGGTTTAAACAAAACAATTCAAAGAGGTTTGATAAGAAATAGCTCACTGTAGAGAAACTTAGCGTTTCTGATTTCTTTACAGTGGTGATGATGGGAACCAGAGGCTGCAATATCTACAACAAAAATATAGCCATTTTATTTACTATCCAAAACAACTAGTGGACTTACACTGTCTTCTATGTTTTTAATATGTAATGCTGATAATGGTAAAACAGTGGGAAATTTTCAATCTAAAAGTGTGGTTTAGGCCAAACCCTTATTTCAGAACTATTAATAAAACAATAAAACAGACAGTATAATCATAACCATTTTGTGTAATAATATTATGTGATGTAGTTTTAATAGGCATTCAATACTTTAGCTGTCCTATCACCACAGTTGTGAACAATTCTGACTTGGTACGTTTCTCCAGAATGGAGCATTTCACATCAAACCATTCAAGCTGACTTTGTCTTAACAGCTTACATTCCTTTTATGCAGAAATCTGTGGACTTGCTTATTAAATGCATATATGTAGTCCAATAATACCACAACTTGTCCACAGTAGGTTATTCATGACACTTAACTTTTACCACCGTTCATAAAGTAAGAAGGAAAGAGATTCTCACCAGCATATCACTTGAACGTTTCTCCCTGTCCCTACACAGGCTTGAGTTGTTTCTCTCTTTTCTGGATTTAAGTAATTTTCTCTGCAACATAAGGAAAAAAAGTGCAAAAAAAGTAAATATACATGTTCTTAAGCCTTTATATCCCATTCCTTCCAAATATGTTCCTCATACCATCTTTATTTCTTCTGAAGGTTTTTGTTTCTGTTTGAACCTACTTTCTCCCCAATTTAGTCACTGCCAGTTCCACCAATAGTTAGGTCTTTCCCTATCATATGACATCTGCGATGGCTAGTGTCAGGCCCAAGAGCCTCTCTTCTGTGCCCAAGGCCCCTTGACAGAAGATGGATTCTTCTAGCGTGTTCTAATACTATTACCTTAAGAGCTAACTGCAAAATAACTTCTTCTAACAAAATAAGAAAAATGTGTAAGTGTAAAAGAGCAAAGTAAAATAAGAGACTTCAGTCGCTGAGTTCTTGTGGAAGGAAGGGAAAGGTCTTCTTCTTTATTGAGCTTGAATGGCAAGATGGTTCCCGGACAACCAGAATGCAAAGATCATTCGCAAAACACCCATTTTTATATTCTGTTTGGGGTGATGAAGTAATCACCCCTCCCTTTCTATAAAATTCTATACCATCTTAGTTCCCATCATTTCCAAACCTTACACTTTTCCTTTGGAACCCTTATTTCCAAACATATATATGTTTTTTTAAAAATATCTTATCTTAGCTGTACCAGGATGTTCCACTCTCCAAGGGCATTAGCTTTTGACTGGTCGCATTGTAAATTCACCTACTCCAGAGACTAGTTCTCATCATCTCAAGGACAGCTCTTCCTTTTCACACAGCAGATTCTAACAAGCTTCTGGAGGCCTCTTTGTTAAAAGGGCACTCCGGTGTCCAAGTTCCCAGGCAAGCTAAGGCCCATCTTACAGTGTGAAGATTACTATTCTTTTGGTTAATAAACACTACTTGTTAGAACTATCAAAGATAAAGATTATTTATTCAAACCATCCGACACTAGCATCGCACAGGGTGACGGGGAGAGGGATGGCCGTCCTATCCAGCCAGACAGAGGAAGGCCAATTATGCTCTCCTGGACTCCCTTGCAGGGATGGCGGTGGCACACCTGACAGTACAGCTAATGCTTAGATGTTTGAATCACTTAGAAACCCCTGAGTATTTTTTTTTACTTTTTTGCAATTATAGTCAGTTATCCATGTACTCGTCTCCTCTGCAGTACAAACAGGACTGTGAAGAATGGCAAATCCTCTAGAAAATGCATATAAAGCCTTACAAGGTCTTACAGGTCTGAGTTAATGACCTAACCACTGCCTGAACACATAGTGATACGTACTGTACTTTGCAATGAGAAAACATATCTGAATAACCACAATTACAGAATTACACTGCCAACTGCACAGTGCTTATAAAAAATATTCTTCACCCTCTTGGAAGTTTTTATGTTTTATTGTCATTGAACTTTGAGTTACTTTGAGAAACAGACTCTTTAATGTCAAAGTGAAAGCATATCTCTGCAAAGTGATTTAAATAAATTGCAGATACAAAACACAAAGAATGTGATTGCATAAATGTTCATTCCCTTTAATATGACTCTCCTAAAGTATAAACAGTAGTGTAAATGCACCTGTCTGGTAGCAACTATGTTACAAGCTGACTGAAAAGCAGAAGTCAAGAACATATCCAAGTTACTGGATATGCCTTGGAGTACTGTTAAATCAATCATTAAGAAATGGAATGAGTATGGCACAGCAATAAATCTGCTAAGAACAGACCATCCACAAAAACTAAGAGACCATGCAAGAAGGCGATTATTGAGGGAGGCCACCAAGAGACTATGACAACTCTGAAACAATTGGTAGCAATTGTCTTATGCCCAGGTGCTTCACCAGTAGCAGCTTTATGGGAGACTGGAAAAATGAAAGCCACTATTAAATAAAACTAACGTTTACTTTCGGCTACAGTTTGCCGCAAAGCAGGTAGAAGACTGCTGTTGTTAGGCACATCATAAACACACTGAAGCATGAGGCATGGTGGTGGCAGCATCATGCTGTGGGGCTGCTTCTCTGGATTTTTCACTTATGATCCCCATACAAGCTTGAGCAGTTTTGCAAAGAGGAATGGTCCCATTGAGCAAAGCTGATAGGGACCCATGCAGACTCTAGACTGTGATAGCTGCCAAAGGTGCATCTACTAAAAACTGACTTGACGGGGGTCAATGCTAATGCAATCAGATACTTTGTGTTTTATATTTGTAGTTTATTTAATTTAGTTTTTTTAGATTTGTAATAATTTAAATAAAATTGCAGAGGTCTGTTTTCAATTTGACATGAAAGACTGTTGATCAATGTAAAACACATTAAATTCACTGTGATTCAATGTTCCATATTATTAAAACATGAACACTTCCAAACAGTGAAGACTTATTATATACTTACTAACACACAGCAGTATTTTGAGGCTAGAGGAAATGTGTTCAGTATTCAATTGTATAAATGGCCAAATACAAAACACAGAGACATATACACAAACACACACCTCAGCAAAGTACTGGGGATGGTCTCGTGGCCTGTCAGAATCTGAGGAATTGGATCCACTGGGACTGAAAGCAAATCACAAATGTCTTTGATGAAAACAAACCACAAATTTTTATCATCTCTCAGCTTTAGCTCACTTTCAATTCAAAGAAGCTCACCTTTCAATGGTACGAGAGGTGTCCATAATCTTGTTTTTGGTGTCATGATCATTGAGGGCGGAGTCTGCAGGCACAGGGATGTCCCCCCTCAACATTCCCTGCAGCTCTCTTAAGCATGCATTATACTGCAGGAGTCAGATATGGTACAGCTTTATACTTCTATACATTTATTACTAAATAAAGCAAGTTAAAAACACATTCTCAAACAAACTAAACCCCATAAATGCACACCTTTGTCCGGACTGGGTCACAGTAGTCCAGAAGAGTGTCACAGAAGTGAGTCCCCAACATCTCTAGATCCCGTATGTTAAAGTGTGTCCCCTTCCTTTGACCTTACAAATCAATACAAAGTGACTGTAACATACAGACTGAAAGACTACTGTTTTGTTTACCTCTTAAATACATGATGTCATTTCCTGGACACTACCTTGTCCATTTTCTACCACTTGTAGCACAATCTTGTAGTAAATGACATATAAAATATCAAAAGACAACAAAGTATATTTTATTATAAAATTATATTTTATTATTTTCCGATCATCAACAAATAAAATTCTGATGGTTTTGATTCCAGCAGTTTATACGTCAATACGATATGATTGCTAGGTTGGTTGGTTGGACAGTTGGTGGAAACACACATGCCATGCAAAAAGAATTTTTAAGCATAAGTAAGCTTTAAAAATAAGTGAGACAGCTGACCAACTGTGGAGCCACAGAAGGAAGTCTCCAGAGTAAAGCTGTTCAGGATGCCCAGTCTCCAGAGGGCCACTCGGCCAGTGCCCCTTTTTCTGCGCTGCACTTTGAACGTACAGCTCTGAAAAGAGAACTAAAGACACAGCATATTGGGCTGATCAATAAACATTTAAGTAAACCCTAAAAATGTGAACAAAACATTTTACTTAGTATTATTGCAGTAGTTAATTGTAATTATTTAATTATATGAATTCTGCATATAAAACCCAACAGTGTGGAGAAGCTTTCAAAAAAACTCTCTAGTACCATATCAGGACAGTTCTTGTGAAACATGAGTGGGAAGACTCTCTCGAGTGGCAGCTTCAGGCCCTGCCGGGGGCCCTCACACCCATAGATGAAGACATTGTTTTTGCGGCTGTGTCCATGCAGGTCACAATACAGCAGCACCTTACGTTCCTCACACAGCCTCAAAGAAAAAATCTAATTTACACAATTTTCCTTGACCTCACATGTAGCTAATGTGGTTTCCAAAAATGCATGTTATCTTATTAGCTATAAAAAATGTTCAATAGTATGAGGCGTAGGTAAAACATAAGTAGAAGCCTGAGTTTTGTCTGTACTTTTCTCAGCTTTTATAAACAGTATTATTTCAGACATTGTCAGAAACTGGTTAAGCAAGTCAATTTGATATTACTTAACCATTCAGTGTGGTTTGGGGCAAGCATGTAATGACTCTGGCATGCACTTCACATGATGCTAATTTGTGGGCTATTGACTTCCATTATTTATTTGCTACATTAGCCTCATAGCTCCAGTGCAAAACTAATAAAGAAGCCAGCTTCAGATACCAAACACATTTTGGTTGATCGATTTCAATCGAGGTACCAACATTTTTTGCCAAACTAGTCATACAGTGTCACTTCTGACAGAAGTCTTCAGTAGCCCTTTGGTCTATACAATACAGTAAGAAAAGAAGTACTATTTCAGTGAACTGTTTTGTGTAGTCATTTTTACCTCTTCGCCAGCTGCTGTGTGGCCCACACTGAGGGGAAGGAGTCTCTGAGGACTGATCTGTAGTTACGGTTAAGGTCTCTGCCTGAAAGTGAGCAGCGATAGTTTCCTACTATCACCCCGTCTGGGTTCAGCATGGGCAGCAGCTTAAACACAAACATGTCTCTGAGCAGTGCTGCGTTAGGTGACTCGCCCAGCAGAAAGTCCAGAATGCCCTTCATCACCCAGGAGCTGTTTGTCTCCCCAGGGTGGATCCGGGCTGACAGCACCACAGCTGGTTTGGCTGGTGCCTCCTTGTCTCTGTTTGGGTTGGTGATGGTCACCACTGGGACCAGGTTCCCTGCCAGTGAGCGACACAATATCCGTACCTTACAGAAGCGTGAACACCTGGGGTTGCATTCAATGTCTGACAAGTGGCTCCACAGTTTTGTGTAGGTGTAAGGGTAGCAGTGAGCGAAGTAGCAGACATCCTGGTCAAAGGGAAAGAGCAGGGTCCAGGACAGAGAGTAGCAGGGTTTCCCCAAATGGACACGGCCATTGCAAAAATAGGACACGTCCTGGCCGACCCGATGCCATCCCACACCCAGGGATCGGGCCTTTTGCTCTGAATAGAGTAGTGGCTTCTGGCCCTGCTCATACAAGCTGCTTGATTTGAGGAAGTTAGTGATGGTGAAACGGTAGCGAACACCAGCTCGCATGTTCTTTACCTGGAAGTAGAACCACTGGGTGTCCTTCACAGTATAGAGGTCAGTCCTTAGAGTCAGCTCATAGTCAAATTCACCTCTGTGGAAACCAGAAAAAAAACAGGTACCACTTTAAAATAAGAACACCTTTTTAAAGGGTTTATGAATGGTTTAAATTTGTTTATTAATGGCTGTTAATTAGGTCATAAACACCTTAAAATCATTAATAAACACCCAAATAAAAAGGGCAACAGTGACTTATTATAGTTGCGGAATATGCATATCTGATGAAGTTGAGAGGAATAATGCTGATCAGCAAGATCTGAGGTTTAACAGCAGAGATGTAATGAGGGCTCACTATTGGCAAGCAACAGGTCACTGTTGCCCTTTTAATTTATATGTTAGAACTACTTATTAATGGTTTTTAAGGTGATTATGGCTTAATTAATAACCATAAATAACACTCATTTTAAACCATTCATAAACCCAAACATACATAGACTTATTGTGAAGTGGTACAAAAAAACATAATCACACATTTTGTGCTAGTTATGGATCCTTCATGGATCATAGTTTTGAAATAATTCAATATTAAAAGTACCGTTTTTGATTTGACCACAGTAGGCATATTGTTAATATTCTTAACTTAACTGCACTGTCAATAACTGTCAATATAAAAAGACATTATTTATAAATAATTTTGTAACATTTCTATTGGTTCATTCATGTTCGCACAACATAAAGAGCAGCTGGCATTTTCAAATGGCATAAGAAAAAAATTAAATTTTGAATTTCGATGTAATAGGGAAAGTATACTGACATTTCTGCTGGAAGTGAAGCACTGAGGTTCTTACACTTTGTGTGCCTTCAGTAGATTGCCACTCTCAAATCGTCCTTCAAACAGCAGAGTGGTGTCATCAGGCCCAGTGAGAGACACTGATGCCTGACTCGGAGAGCACAGCCTTCCCTTAACTTGAGACCCTGAGAAATAATGCAGACCTGCCACATATACAAACACATTTACAAGGAGGTAAAATGGCTAAAAATGATCTAGCACAAATATGTTGTTTATTTGCTGATTTTTTTTCCTGGTTCTTTTCACCTTGCTGTGTATCATACACCAGCGTTCCCTCTTGTCCTTCAGAGTTTCCTGAACATTTGCTAGTTTTCACAGGCAAAGATAGAGGTTCTGGAGAGGCTGGTGCCCAATCTAAAATGAGACATCAGTTCTTATCACACGTGTTATATTGTATGTACACTGTTAAGGTATATCTCATTTTATGTTCAGTAAATGCACAAGCAAAAAAAAAATAAAAATCTGTTGATTATTACTTAGCAACCATGAATGTTTCAATGTCTTACCAATATGATGTATTTCCTCTGGGATGACCTCGCATTCTTGAGGCCAGCGGGGCAGAACCTGAGCGTTGTTACCTCTTACTCCAAACAGGTCCCGAGGTTCACACAGCTGAGGCAAAACTCGACCTGAATGATGTTCAAACACCACTTGGGTGGTTCTTGGTAATGTAGGCACTCCAAGAAATACTGTTCAAAAGGAAGTTACAATATTCACCCTTAGAAACCCTTACAAATACTCATACATCTTCTGTTTTTTAGTGTTTGGAAATAAACCAGTCACAATTTTTAACTGTTTGTTTGGGCTTTTCTATTTGCATGGTTTTACCTTCAGGACTGTGGGCTGAGACCTGCTCACTCACTGCTGCTTTTTTCCTTAGTTGCTGGTCTTTCTCCTTGACCTCCTCCCCTTTGTCAGAGGCTGAGTGACAGAGGAAGGATGAGAGTGATGGTTGGCTGTTCCTCCTCATTTCATTTTTCCGTATTGTGATCTTCTGGTGATACAACAGTTTTCAAAACAGTGAGAAAGATTGAATTTAAGCTAAGTGCTACAGGGTAAACCCATTCTACTGACACAAGCATGATCAAATAGCACTTTCTTACAGGGGAATACCACTGATTTGAACGTCTGCATATTTCAACTGTTGAAATGCAAAAAGTAGAGTGGTTTGATGTGAAATGGTGCATCACGCAGATGTACAGATAAAATAGATCACATTATTGATTCTGATTTCTTTACAGTGGTGGTGATAGGAACCAGGGGGCAAGAGGCCTATCATGCAAATTTAGCTATTTCGTTTACTATAACAAAAGACCTAAATCTACATGCACTATCTGAGTTTTTTATAGCCTAATGTTGATAGAGGCAAAATAGTGGTAATTCAGAGAAAATAATTTTTCTTTGGGGCCTATTTTGCTTCATAATGCTCTGCTGTGAACTTTCTGTGAGGCAGCTTTCAGAAGCATTAAACTCTTCAGATGTCCGGTTCCTATCATTACCACTGTGAACAATTCTGACACAGTGAGTTTCTCTGGAAGAGCATATTTCACATCAAACCACTCTGAATGACTTTATTTGCATCTTTCACACTAAGCATGCTTTTCAGAGTGCTGGCTATTTCATTAAAATAGCTAGATATTAAAGGTCAAATATTCTTGCAACGGATAACGATATCTAAATAGCTAGCTAGATAGATACATAGATAGCTAATATATTGGTATGTCGATTTTCAGTGATAAAAAAGGTTAATTTGTTACCCTGTGATTCTATTCATCCAGTATACATCAACCTGTATCGTGATAATGCTGAAAGTTGAAAGACCAAAGCAGTCGTTTTATACTTTTCATAGCTGGTGTTCGTCATCAAGTGGATTTGTTCAGTTTTTGGATCAATCATAAGTTAAATATCAATATCCACATCAACGTTTCACATTAACGTTATTAATCTAAGTCGTAACGCTATCGTGCCTAGATTCACATCTTATCTAGCTAGCTACATTTGCTAGCTTACCTAGCTAACCTACCTAGCCTAGCTGAGCAGCGCACATGTCGTGTCTTTGTGTTTGCGATTTCGTGAACTCATTAGCTTTTTCAATTATTATTTCTACCCGTCAGTGAGCTCAATCCGGCGCATTGGAGCTGACAGAGAGCGGATAAGCACTCCAGTGTGCACTTCTTTACCCTCTACGGTATACTCGCGTGTAGCGCTAAACCAAGCGGCCTGTGGGTGGCGCTGCTGCTCCACTGTTGCTAAGCTCGGAATGGTAAGGCTGCGATCTTCACTGTCGTGTTTACATTCGAAAGGTAGGTTACGGAGCAAATGGCAGTTGGTGTCACCTTAGCTACGTTTTAGTACCGAGAGCCTCGGTTGTATATTAAATGCTCAGGACGATGGAAGAACCGAGCACAGACAAATACAAGCCCTGGTAACGTTAATCTTAATTTCATCTCTGAAAGTAAAAAAAAGTCGTAGTAAAACGATTTAATACAGAAATGTCCTTCATGATCATTCTCCATCGTAGCCACACGACTGTTAGCGACGGTCACTACACCTTAAAAATGCCTTCCCTCAAGAAAGGTGAGAACGAGAGAGAGAGAGAGAGAGGGAGAGAGGGAGGGAGGGAGAGAGAGAGATGTGTACACTGCTTTGATAAAATATTGAGATTTATGTTGAAGAAAGCTCTGCCTTTATCATAAAAGGATCCATCAGCTGACCATATTTTGTTGTAATAGAGACGATTAAACATTTTATTCTTTATCAGGTACGACTGAAGAGGATGCTAAATCATCACCTGATTTTGTCCAGCTTAAGGCAAGAAACAACTCAGGTAATACATAGTTATATATATTATCTTGACTCTTATTTATATTTTATATATATATACATGTGTGTGTGTGTGTGTGTGTGTGTGTGTGTGTTTTCTTAGCATTTATAGGTGAGGATGACAGGAAACCCAAGAACCCATTTTTGCTTCCCATGGATGTCGAAATCTTTAAAAAGAGAGAGGAAGATGCACTCATTAGTCAGCAAGTGTGTACGAAAAATGCTTTAACATCCCTTGTACACTTTTACTGGAGAGTTTTACTTAAATTGTTTCTAGTAGTGTTTGATCAGTGAACAGTGAGTGTGTGTCTCACCTGTTAAACCTGTGATTATCAGGAAAAGGCATTCCTTAGAAGCCTCCCCACACCTATGAAGACCACCTATCTGTCTCGCCTTCGGTGTCGCTCCGCTCCTGTGAGGAGCACAGTGGAGGACTCTGTCCTTGAAACAGAAAAATCTAGAAGGAACAGGACAATGTGGGCAGTTGTTGACAATAAAGGCAACAAGCACTAGCTTATATGTCTATCTTTCTAAAGTGATATTTACGCTTCATACAGTGGGGGATTTCTGATGAATCTCAAGAATATTCTCTTTCCTTTGAAAATGTAGATCACTGTCAGAAAGAAAAGAGCATCACAGATTATCTGATAAAGCAGAGAGAGGCTTTCTTGCTTCAGGTAAATGTATTATGGAAGTCTGATTAATACTATGAGGTTGTCTAAGTGTGTGAATAGTGAAAATATGAACTGTATTTTTGATGCGATTGTTATCTCCACAGTATTCTCTGTCAGTGAAGAGAGAAACTATTCACAAGCTTAAAAAAGAGATGGAGACAGAGCAACACAGACTAAATCTTTTCGAAAAGCAACTGCAAGAGGTTGAAGTAGCCTTTGAAAAGTTTCTTAATGAGAATGATCAGAACTCAGTAGAGGCTGTCAATCTGTAAGTGCTTATCATTATGACCTTTCATTCTGTGAGTGGTTCTTTGAAACTAACTTAATGTTGTTTTGTAGCTTATTTGTTGCAACTGATCTATAGTAAACTCTTCATCAAATTCCAGAGCTGAAAAGGAAACCATGGTGAAAATGGAAAAAACAGCAGAGATAAAAAAAGTAACAGCACAAATGATGACAATAAAAAGGTAAAAAAACACTGTACTGTCACAAATTGAGTTCTCTACAATAGCAGAAAAATGAGAGAATTAAAGATACTTTGCTAGAACTATGCCATGTGTTTGTTAGATCTTTCTCGATTTACTCGATTTACTACTGATGCTCTATAACATCAATGCAGTTTTGTCTTTCAGTTTAATTACTTTTGGTACTAATTGTTTTGTTGTAATACATTTTATTCATTTGGACATTTTTTCAGTACATCAGTTGAATCTAATTTGCATTCTGCTTTGTTATCAGTGAAATTTCAAAGTACCAAGAGACACTGACGAAGTACCAGACATGCAAGAAGTTTCTGATGGCTGTAGCCCCTCCACAGTGGCATGAGGAGCAAAATCAGAAAAGAGAACAGAAACGGGAAGCCAAGAGGAAAGAAAGGATGAAGGAAATGGAGCTTAACCCCACTTTTCTTTCCCCCAATATTAAAGGTAAATTTGGAAAATAGTACAGGATCCTATTCAAATATATTTGTATCTCAGTAATTCATGTTCAACTTTAACTAAGAAAGCATTTTAATTGCATCTGATTTTTCATGTGTGGTAAAGATAATGGATTGTTTAACTGAACCCTGGATGCAAAGCTGTTTTCATTATGTTTGTATTCTGTATATAGTTGTTTGTCTTATTATCTTTATTCTTTATCTATTTTTCTCCTGATCAAAATGAACAGATAATATTAATTCTTTTTCATTTTTGTATACAACTTAATTTAAACAGGTGCATGCTTCTAAGGGTCCCCAAATTTTCTGAAATGACCGTGATTTGATGGCAGACCTTTATTCAACACCGTAGCTGGATTCAGCACACAAATGTAGTGTGTATTTAATATAGTATTTTTCCTGTTTTGTTGCTGCAGGCACTGAAAATGGTGATCCAAGAATAGGAAAAGCTACACAAACAAGGAGGCTTAGTACATGGTAATGTGGCCCATCACATAAGAAGATATGAGAATTTCTCTAGAACAGATTGCTGCACAAAGAGATGTGTTTGTGTCTGTGGCTCATCTCAAGCATAAAAATTGTTATCCTGTCCAACATCAACACAGCAGTAGAAAACAAAGTGTCATCCAGGAGAGACGAAGTTCTACTGTTTCAATGGCAAATGAGGACTTTGAGTCATCTGATAATGATGAGGTCTGTCAGTTGTCTGATGATTGATTTGTCTTAGATTTATTTGGATATGCCATGAGAACACTCATCATTTCCATGTTTTTAAATAATATGTAATGACAAGCAGTATTTCTGTCAATTTACTGCTAATTAGCAACTATTTACTGTTAATTTAATTTGAGATTAATAATGTTTTTAATTGTAATTGTATTCTATTTTGCCTGAGAATTAACAAATTAACATGCTTTAAGTGCTTATGTTTTTTGTGACCCTGTAGGAGCCAGCGTTGTGTTTCTCCGACCCTAAGGAAATGCTGAGCATTCTGACAGAGCTGGAGGAACAGAACCTCTCCTACATCCAGAACTTTCAGGAGACAGAGGAAGCCATGGATGTGATTCGGAAAGCTGCCCAGCACTCACAGGATAAAATGTTAGGGGAAGAGTCACAATTAACTAGATTCTGATTTGTACAACATAAGCAATATAAAATAATTAAGTTATAAAATAACTTGTAATTATTTGACTCCTGCTTTTCAATAAAGTAAATATATACATTTCATGCTTTGACAAGGAACCATGAGATCCATCTTCTGCAACAACAGATCGAGATCATGCAGGCCACCATCCAGAGAGAGCGGGAGAAAGTACTAGAGTTAGAACTGAAGTCAAAGATCTTCTCATATGGAGAATACAGCGCAGACAAACAGGTCATTAAAGATTTCTGAAGAGTATACAGCAGTGGCTCTTAACAGAGATCTCCACAAGTTTCAAAATTCTACATAATTAAATGATTAAGATGTAAACAAAGAAGTTATTTTAGCTGCAACTCAATATTAATGCCTATGGATTTAGAATGGGATGTCATAAAAGCCCCTGTGGGTGTAATGTGTAGGTGTCCCAATACTTTTGTCCAGATAGTGTATATGCAGGGCTTTAGTACCACTGTTTTACTACTGCGTGTCTTTTCATACCAATTCTCCAAGCCTTCCCAGTTCATGTCATGGATTTACTTGAAAAAATCATGCGAAAACTTCCATTAAAGTCATGGGAGTTTACAAAAAATCCTACAGCTCTACTCCAAGGACTTTTTAGTTATGAATTTTTTTTTTTAAGTGGGGCCCTTATGCTTATTTTATGGTGCACTGGGTTGAAGTTTGTACTGAACATCCAAGAAAACCTAAGGATAATTTGCAACATGTATTCATATAAATAGTTGTTGATTATGTAACATAAAATATAAAGATGCATAATTTTTTAACAAAACAATTAATCTTTTTTTTTACAAAAAAGAATTTCTCCACTAGTTTTCACTTTCTTGCAACCAGATTTTGATTCTGTGTAGTATTAACATAGGTCCATCACATTTCAAAGTTAAGTGCCACAGATCTTGCTAAATATAGCTGCAGAGCAGAAAACCCACTTTAAGATATTTTGACTGTATATCCAAGAAAAATTATTTGAATTTGCTCTCAATTTTTTTTTATAGGAAAGTGGTAATTATTATTTGCAGATATCTAAAAATAAATAAATAAAAAATAATAAAGATGTTATAGAACTCCATAATTTAATTATTTAAAATAGCTTTTTTTCATAATTTTCTTTGGTTAAGAGTAGACAGATCAGATAATAAGGTAGGAACAAAAAGAGGACAGTATGCAGTGTATGATGTCCCCGTGACTCATACACAGGCATTAAATAGCTTCATATAGGACGCAAATCATTCCTGGTTCTGTGCCGAGTTATAGCGTTGATGCTGAACAGTCGTGTGCTTAACCTTTCCTTTCTGCTTGTTTTGATTAGGATCACATGCTTGAACTGCTGCACAGGAACGTAAGGGAAGTATACAGGGCTTGTCTTGGAGAACTGGACTGCAACATCAGTACTCTACACATGCTAGCTTGTATCGAGAACAAGGTTGTGGATGTTCTGGAGCATCTAGAGATGATGCCTCCTGAAAAAGTGGATTTTGTTCGATCTTTGAGAGACAAGGAGAAAAGAATAAAGTAAGGAATAAACTCAATTGGCATACTAGCATAAAACTAGTGGATGCCATTAAATAACTTTTTTTTGCATAGGTTATATTGAGTGGATGTCAGAGAGTTTTTTGGTTTAAGTCTTGACCTCCTAAGACACAACCCAGCCCAAACTATGATAGTAAAGCCAACAGAAAACATAAAATTGTTTGAGTAGTTTTATCTTGGGCTTTATGCAAAAAGAGGTGCCTTTAGAGGCTCACGTGAACCATATTTGAATTAATATGATCGTTGGAAACTGGAGCCTGTTTGGTTTTGAAAATTGAGGCCTGCTAAACAGAATTTCTACATAAGTGGTTAAGATTTAAACAAAGTACTTCCACAGAAGTCTGAACTAAAATGATGTCTTAAACACATTAGAATGAATTACGACAGACATTACTGTTCGAAATGTCAAATACTGCATACACAACCCTAAATATGTGACAGAACAGAACCTGCCCTTGTTACAGAATCCGAGAAGAAAAGGCGCAGCTGAAGAAACAGCATCAGGAGGCAAGGCTCAAACTGGCCATGGAACGGGCCACTTCAGACAGCAAGAAAAGGGTTTGTGTTTATTTATATAAACAAAGTTTTTACATAATTACTTCTGCATTCTTATTTGTAGTTAAAGTACCTTCCAGGAGTTGCATTTGGTTGAAACTGATGGCATTTTTCTCTATTAAAGTAAATCCACAGAAACTGCATTTATTGCTCAAAGTACTACTATCATTTGAATATGAAATTAAGTAAAAGCTTTTAGATTTTGATCTTGACTTACTTCCATATTTTTTATAATTTTTTCTAGATGGGAAGGAAACTCATGCCACGCTCAGAACCACTTGAAATCAAGAAGAAAAACGAACTCCATGTGATGACCACTAAGGAGCAAAAGGACCATCTCTATTTCTTTACTTGAGATCTAGCAGCTTTCAGAACATCCAGTTATGAAAGGTGCATTTAATAAATTATGTTTCTGTACAATATGGCTTTACATTGTTTCACATTTGGCTATTTAGATTCAAATGACTTGATTTATATGTTGTTCGTGCTGAAAGATAACAGACAAGTTCAACTAATTTGTTTTAAGTAATAATTTCTTACAAATTTTATTTGTAGTTGAAAATAAAACACTACATTGTGCTTTATCCAGAGGTGTGACTGATTTCAGCTCAAAACACATACAAGGTTATTATGCATCATCACCAGCTCTAGTCCAAGTGAGGAAAGCGTTACTTTTCCCTAAAGGCAGCAAAGCACAACTGCATGTTTAAGATGTATCTACACTGTTTTAATGGCTTATTCCTGTGATCAGGAATTAAAGCAATCCAATCTGTGCAGTGTCCTATGACTCTGCCCACTGGCTGAAAAGAGAATTTAAATTGAATGAGGGTACAACTGAAAGCTGCGGAGGAACAAAGCTGTTCCTAATAAGAAGGAAAAGAAAAATATATATATATATATATATATATAATCAGTGAACATGAAATTCTCTTCACCCTTCTAAATACTTTTTTTGCATGGTGGTGTAGTAATACAGCTTGACCTCAGTACTCCCTGGGCTAATATGGCATTATATATGAATAGATGACCACCAATTTTTCAAAATTTTACACTTACTAATCTTGAGGGTGCTCAATAAGTGGAGAGCAAGAGCACAGAGCTGTTTGTCCTGAATTTTCCAAAATACAGAAGGCCAACACCTAAGAGCAAAATTCATTCAGCCTTGCTGCCTGACACCCCCAAAAATACCACAAATATTCAAACTCAACAGGTACAGGCCAACCATTTAGCCCCCACCCAGCCCATCAGAGCACATAAATGTGTCTGTGAAATTTTGAGAAATTGGTGAGCCCGAGCTCTAGTAATCATCGCCACGGCTGACCACCTCCTTGCAGGTTGGCCTCAGTAGGATGGTGTGCTCAAACTGAGCGGTGTAGCAGCCTTTGGTGTCGCACAGAGGTGGGTAGGGGTCAATGATGCCCAGATCACACAGGTTCTTCAGCGCCATCAGGTACTTTGTTTCACCCAGACGATCTAGCCAGCGGCGGCAAAACGCAAGCGTGCCGAAATTCTCATTGACGACATTTAGCAGGTGCTTGGCCCTAGGGAGTCTGTGAGGAGAGTGAAAGGAAGCAAGCAAATAAGGACAATATTGATCAAAACAGGCCTTTAATTTAGCAGTAATACACACGTTTAACAAATTACTGACTACAGTCTTTTGTTCTGTAGGAGCTGAAAGACTTACCTGATTGGCACATGTCCAACTTCAAAGTTTTTCATATAATGTGAGCACTCCATGTCATCATGCACCATCCCTTTTCCAGTGCTTCCAAAGGTCTCAATGGCATACACTTCTCCCTCCTGCAAAAGAGGGGAGCAGTGAGACTTGAGTACACAAAATACCTCAAATATGTTGTGAATGAAAACGTTGTGCGCTTTTAAATTGGATGAGTTCCATTGCCTATTAGGAGTTTTGACAATAAGCACACAAAACTGTGACACAAAGCTTAAGGGCATGAAGGGTCCCAGTAAGCTTAACCACACCTAAGACATAAGGACATGTCAGCAGCTGATAGCTAAGTGTCACAGTAGTCCTGTAGAGATAATTTCTTTAGGCACACCCATCTGCAAACCCATAACTCAAGAGAGCACAACAAACTTTCATTCACCATTCTGAATCTGTGTACACAGCAAAGCTTAGTCTGGGACAACACAGATCTTTCAAGGGAGATAATCATATCATTTAATCAAAGACTAATATTTATAACACCAATCATTTTAGTTTATCCCTTGCCACATAAAGTTATTGACATGTGAAAAGAACTGGAGCTGAAGGTGGAACTAACCTCCATTTTGGTTGCCTCACCGCCTTTGACAATAGGTACAGTCTTGCCGGCGTGTATTCTGTACTGTCCAATTGAGTGGCCATTGAGATTCCGGATTGGCTTCACTATAGGAAATTATGGACATATTACAAAAGTGTCAGAGGTGAAAAACCTTGTCTTGTTTTATTTTAGCAGTTAAACAAATTGGAGCACAGAAAACCAGTATACCTTGGTAAGTTTTTCCATCTAGCTCCACTTCGTAAGACTCCATGACCTCCTGAATGGACTCCCCGATGTCACACAGACGGACGTCAATTCCTGCACACTGACACACAAAATCATAATAAATGTAAATAAAAAGCCAACAAGCTCAACTCTAAATGTTCTTTATTTTGAAGCATAATTCTGTAGTTTCATGCAAGGTAATGGAACAGTTAAGGCCATCAGACGCACCATGTCATGCAGAATCCCAAAAAATCATTATTTTTAACGAAGGTGCACACACGGCCAACATTTAGCACTCAGCACTGTGAATTTTTTTCTGATCTCTACAGCACACCACTCAGCACTTTTGTATCACTATATTTAATTAAACCCAGAACCAGACCTCAGGCACCAAATGGTAGGTGACATATGGCTTGAAATTTACAGCAAGCTAAAGACTTCAGGATAAACAAACAAACATTAATGGTCTGTTATCTCAGCTACATTGTCAGCTTATACCAAATGTGATGCTGGAAGTTTGATTCCATTAAATCTATATGAACAGAGTATAAAATGAACTTAGCATATAGATTAAAGCACAGCTATGCCATGTGATACTGCACGGCACATACTGTGTACATGTTAGTCTTTATTTAGCCCTTTAAAAACACTGACCTCAGCTGTAAAATTCTGTGCAAAACCAAAGAATGACACTCCTACCTTAATTCCAGTATTTGTGGCATCTTTAACAGCTTCCAGCAGTTTATCATACTTTGGGTTAAAGGTGACAGTGAAGGCACAGTCAATGATTCTACCTGTAAGACAAAAGTCAAGCCATCAAATTAAAAGAGAAAAATGGCAGAGCAAAACGAGCAAAACAAGTAAATTCACAGTGCAGCTCTCCTTGTTTGTAAGCCACACACCATTAATATGTGTGCCAAAGTCGATCTTGCAGACATCGTCGTACTGGAGCACCGTGGGGTCCCCAGCATTGGGGGTATAGTGCGCAGCACAGTGGTTGAGTGAGCAGCCAGTAGGGAAAGCAAGACCAGCATTCAGACCATTCTCTTTGATTAATTTCCTAGAGCAGTCCTCAAGCTTCTCACTGAAAGGGTAAAAACCAAGTATGTATAAAAGCAGGGGTGATAATTAGGTTAAATCATTTTTTTAAAAAGTATTAAGTTCTGCAATGTCTCAAAGCATACAGATGTCAAATGAAAAGTTCAGACTCACCAGATCTCAATCATAGTCAGGCCTGGTTTAATCCAGCTCATGACGTACTTCCTGACTTGCCGATGAGCTTCTGCTGCCTGCCTGAAGTCATTCCACATCTCCTCACTGGCCTGGTCCAACACACGCTTCTCCTCACTGCTCGTTCTCCATGCAGCACTGCGGCTGAGAGGGGCACAAGACCAAGAAAGCATGAGCCCAGAGTAATGTCAGATTCTAAATGTTAGCAAATCATTCACAAAATACAATGATACAACTAATGGGTGAGCAAATCATAAACAAGCACAAGCAGCTGTTTATTTGCGTGGCTTTTCAGTTAGAATGAGTGATGCACTGATGTGGTCTGTACCCGTCTTGTAAAGTTGGGAATTCACATTCTTGTCCCTTGGGGAAAACTCCACTTGTATAAAGTTCACAGATAGGAATTGATGGAGGATCTGTCTGCATTTTGGCTGGAAAAAAACAGAAAAGAAAACTAATGTGAATAAGGGGTGGCTGGAGATTTACCTTGTTTAACCTGAGCAATGAGTATATATTAAAAGATGTCAGATCAGTAACTCACGTCCTTTCTTTTTCTTCTTTTTTTTCTTCTTCTTTCCGGCAGAATCTCCTTCCTCACCATCTGTCAAAAAGTAGGAGATTCATTTGAAGAATTCAACTCCACAATTGGAGACCATTAACAAGACTTGTGATATAAAAAAACAGCACATAAACCTATGAAAAATTTATGCACAGTTAGCATTCACAGCACAACAATTACTGAGTATCACGAGAGGGACAAATAGACAGACCATCCTCGCCATCGTCATCCTTTTCCTGGTCATCCAGTGTGTGCAGCTCCAATTGTTTAGTCACTTTATTGATGTCAGATTCTCCTTCCCCATCATTGCTTCCTAATGACAAAATCAAACAAGACATCTCTGTGGTGAATAATTCGTATTTCAGACGCTGTTTAAATTCTTCATTTTGTGTATAGTCATTGGTTAGGCCTATGTGCCTATGCTGACGAGGCGAGTCTCACATATTGACTGAAGCAGTTGGAGATGATGTGAGTTTATATTCTATATTTAAGCTGTTAACCTAAGTGGCAAAGTTAATGCTTTGAGTTTTCAATGAAGGGAGTTGAGAACTAAAAGTTGTGTGTTAAGGGGTTATGAATGGCCCAAGCTAGGTTTAACGAGTGTAACACTGTTTAGCTGGCTAGTCACTATTGTGATGTACAGCCATCATCAATGCTAAAGTGTGTTATTGAATTATTCTTGCTGGGAACTTAACAGTTTAGATGTTTTTTACAAACTACAAGTATGATTAAGTGATTAAGTCTCTGCATTGCTGATGCTTAAGAGTGTGAGTTTGTGTGCATATATAAGAAAATGTAGCATTAATGTGCATGTACTTTTTCTTTGTGTTTGTTTCCTACCGTTCTGTGTACACATACATACATACATACATACATACAACAAACATGTAAATGTACAGCTGGAACCATCTGAACTGTTACTGTCCTCTCCACACAGTGAACAAGTTATATCTATTTGATGACTTTGTACACTCTGACTGGAGTAGTGGCCAATACCGATCTATAACCAGCTCAGTTGGTAAAACCAGAACAATCTCAGATAATTTATGCCCTTTCAGTCCAGTGCTCAAATGGCCTACAAATGACAATAAGTGGGCACATTTTCCCCTCACAAATCGCCTGCAACACAATTTGTGACACCCTGTATTTGTGGACTTGAAAGGATCACTGTTAGCTTTTATAAAACACAAAATATGTCAATTTCACAGCTCCTTTCTGTACTTCTATAAACAGTATTCCAGAACTGTTCCATTTCAGGGGATGTATTACAGGATTAAAGGAGCAGTTCTCCAAAAAATCTAATTACATAATTTTCCCCTAACCCAAAAATGTAGTCATTCAGCTAAGAATCATATGGTCTCGCAATTTTGCTTCTTTATCTTAGCAATGAATCTTTAAGGTTAATGTAGGTATAAAGCAATAGAAGTCTATGTCACCCAAACTTAGGTATGCACAACTGGAATTTGTCTAGGTTGGAACAGGCAGATTTTTGCTCCAATTCTGCAATCAGCCATTTTATTATTGTTATTTTGGCTGATCTGGGTTGAAATTTTATGATGTAAATAATGTGGGCTTGGTAAGTCTGTATTTGTATGTTTGTGTGCATGTTACAAAGCAAATAATGCTATGGTGCAACTTTGGTTAACAAAAAGTACAGGAAATATGCTGGTGTGTTTTTCTTGTGTTTATTTAGCCCAAATGTGAGCTTCAGATCTGAAACAAAAAAAATGTATATTTTATATAAAATGTAGTTTTAGCTTGTATTGTATTAATTTAGTTCAAACACAAAAACCAAAGTAGGAAAATATGGACACCAAACCTGTCTTGCTGATTTATTATGTTTGGATTAAGGTGAACATTGCGCAAATCTGATTTTTAGGTGATCTAATCCTTTAAGATTTTCTTATGTAATATGAACGCTGCCACACTCTGACCTCTGTAACACGTCATGACGATTACAAACCACTAGCATTATTTATTTTTTTGACTATAAAGCCCTAATCCCAGGCTTCAAATCCATTTAAAATCAAGTTAAGCACATATTCCAGTTGTTTCTTGGTAAAACGTGCTCTAGCACGTTCTTCCAGTGTTAGCGATGAGGCGGACACTTCGTTGCTCCGAAATAACAGTGTGACTTTTTAAACCACCAAAAAGTTAGGAATGGTAAATTAACACGCGGTTGAAAAAGGAAACACAATAGTTCAGCAGCATGCCTGGCTTTAGGGAGTGAGGCCTACAGCCCAGCTCTAGCACACCGGCAGCGCTGTGGACAAGCGAGCTACGTTCACATAACACGGGCACTGAAACAGCCCGCTAACCGCGCTGAAGCTAAGTTAGCACACGCGGCTCTGCCGATCTGAGTTAGACCGCAGGCTGAACTAAGCTAGTGAGCACCAGAGCAGGACACGCAGCGTTTCCACTTAGGTTCAAACAGATTTAATGAATTTGTAGGTCAGTTAATGATGTCTGTTAGCTTCATAGGAGAAAATGAGTGGCGTTGGCTTCCTATTCGACTTTTCCAGTTCCACCTTAAACACTGCAGCAGTTACCTTCTGGTGCCTGAGACGCCAAAATGTAACTGCTGTGCATTTAAGGTGGAACGGGAAAATTCGAATAAGAAGCTCACTTAAGCTTCGTCGTGAGAGCTGCCTCACTCACTGACAGCGCCGCTGGGACTCAGTGAGTTACCTGCGCCCGCCGCTTTGCCCTTCTTCTTCTTTTTCTTCTTCTTTTTCGAAGCCTCCTCGGCAGGTTCCACTTCGTCTTTCAGGTCGTGCGTGTCTCCGTTCTGGAGGATTTCCACTTTCGCAGATCCCTGCTCCGTCAACTCCTCGTCCGCCATGATCGAGCAGCAGGGCCACCCCGGCGTCGAAGCACAGACTTGTGGGAAATGTCTGCCTATATTAGCGGAGTGACTTTTTTGTCGTCACACCACAACATGCAGCAGCAGTACAGCCCATTCTGGCACAGCGCGACAGGTACTTTTAGCAAAAGACTGCGTTGCTGGTTAACATTAGGTTAAAGTAACTTGTTCGTTGACGCCATTTCATTTCAAATAAAATATGGTGTTTTCACAGAGAAGTGTACCTGGTGCTTTTCAGTATAATAATGTTAGCCACAGACACTTCAGACTCAAAGTTAAAGCTAAACCAGTGACTAAGTTAAATTTAATAATGCTTAGTGTGAAAATTACTGAAATTGTGTGGGAGTGGAGTTAGATTACAGCTCAGCCTGCATATGTGCGGCTTTTAGATGTTAATTTGGGAGAAGCATCCACAGCACAACACCGTCTTAAATCTTTATTTTTATTAATGAGGGGTTGAAGTAATCGAACCTCTGAACGAGCTTTTAAGGTGGAAACTCCAACTAATACAGCGTCGTCTCTATATTTTGTGTGCATATTTTGTGTATATTTAATATATTTCAGTTTCAGTATTTCTTTGTATTTTTATTTTTACTTTGTTTACTTTCTGTAGAGTGATTAGCTGAGCCTCACCACGAGCATTTCAATGCATGAATGTCCTGACATGCTGTGCAAATGACAAATAAACTTGAAACTTGAAACTCGTCTATTTTAATAGAGGATTTATGGAGGTGACGTGGCATGCACGGGTTGTCACCGTGACGCCATAGAATCTCAACTGACGCCATCAAAATAGAACATATTTATGTGTGCACAGTCGACGTGACTATTGTGACACCACCGAATCTGGAATCATGCATGACGTCACAAGAGGGAAAGTATTTAAATATGGACAGTCGACGTGACTATTTCACTCAAATGATTCCGGTCATTTACAGGCTGCGTGTTACTGCTGAACAAACCATCAGATAAATTAATACCTAATATCTAATCTTTTTGCATTGTGTAGATGGAACCGGTGTATGAGAAGGAGGTGATGAGGTTTGGGGAGATGAAGGAGGAATATTCAGATAAAGAGAACAAAAGAAAGCTGCAGATAATGCTGAAGGAAAAGAATGAAAGGGCAGAAAAGCTGCTCCGCGAGCTGGAGAAACAGCGGGAGGAGGAACACCAGAAAGACAGAAGGGAGATACAGCTGGAGATCGAGAGAATAAAGGAGGCGAGACAGAAATACGTGGAGAGACAAAGACAGGGGAAGAGAGAGTGGATGAGCAGAATGATGTTCACTCTCACAGAGAACGTTTCCTGGGCAAAAAAGAAAGATGGACGCAGAGGTGCTGGTGGGCAAAGAAAGAGTGGCTTCATTAATTCTGGGCAGAAAAGCTCTGACCAGAAGGAGGCCAAAACTCAGGAGCAAGAAAAGCTCCTTCCAAGCCCAGGCCCTGCAGAAGATCCAAAATCACCCACACCTTCTACAGCTGTCCCCACCACACAGCCACACACAGAGGAAAACGTGAGGACTGAAAGCAACACTGTCCCTGAGGAGCTCGTTCCAGAACCTCAGACTTTCAGTCATACTGGATCAGAGCAACAGGCTGTGGAGTCTCCAGATAGGGCCTCAGAAGATGATGAGCTGGATGTGGAGGTGTGGGATTTGACCAGCCAGGACTCAGGGACTGGGAAAGGGAACGGTCCTAAATACAAGAGCAAAAGGAGGAGAATCATTGGCTGGATCAACAAAAAAATGAAGGAGAAATATCAGAAAGCCATCATCAAGAGTCTCAATAAAGAAGAGGAGCATGGACATGAGCTCTTTATGAGTAAGTCACTTTGCGTACAAGTCTCAAAAATGAACAGAAAACATTAAATATCCCCGTAACGATGACAGACATTGGCTAGAGAATTAATTAGCTTTAACTGCTGCTCACACAAATAACAAAAATGTTAGGATATCTGCATTACTGACTTAATTTAACGCTTTCTCTCTGAACAGCACCCAAGGGTCTATGGATGACTGAGGCGCAGTACCAGCAGGCAAAAAGGGAGAGACTGTACTTATACGAGGATTGGAGACAGGCTCTGGAGACTTGCTGGAGAGAGTGGGAGGAAAAACAGGCCCAGAAAAAAGCAGAAAAGAAGGCAAAGAAGGAGAAAAAGTAACAGCTGAATTGGAGGAGTGTGCAAGAGTATATTGTATGCTCTTTGTACATGAACGATGAAAACATGCACTTTCAATAAAAACCTGAAAGACTACCTTAGACAGAGTTCATTTCCTTTTTTGACATGATTACTAGTAGTAACTTTAAAATAAGGTGCTTCCTATAGCAGAGGAATTACTCAAAAAGCGAAAGTTTCTTATTTTGTTTCTAAGTGATTGATTGATCTTTATTTCAGGCTAAGTGCTTTACCAGTATGAAGGTAAAAAGTGACATCTCTCTTCTTACTTAATGATTTCTGATCTTCTCTCAAACGTTTTAATTTATGGCATGTTAGTAGACAGTCTTATCCAGAGGGAGCTGCAGTTTGATCATGATAGGTAGGACAAAGTAGCGGTAGGAGTCTTGCCCAAGGACTCTTATTGTTTTTGCCATGCATACTCTTTGCCCCTGTGTTGTAAAGCACTCAGAGCTGTTTTTATAGATTAACTGGCATGGTAGCACTTCTGTTATAATGTCAAATGAAATCATTGTTATTGTCAACAAGAGCTCCCTATATCTTCAGTAATTGAAGGTGACAAGGTTGTGCTTTTTCTCCATTCATTTGTGTATTGGCTGCATTTAAGTCCAGCTTCATGCACTGAGGACAGGCACTGGCTTACAAGCAAGTGTTATACTTCCAATAGCTCATTAAAGGAGAACACCACCAATTTATTATTCATTTCTGATTAATTTAATCATTGATATAACAGAGTCATTCAGAGTGGTTTAATGTGAAATGGTTCATTATAGAGAAACCTACTGACTCAGATTTCTTTACAGTGATGGTGATGGAACCAGAGGTCGTGACATCTACAACACAAATATAACAATTTTATTTGCCAACCAAAACCACCAGTGAACCTACACGTGTCTTCTGAGTTTTTATATGTAATGTCGATGATGGTAAAATAGTGGTAAATTGAAGAAAGTATAATTTCTTTGGGGACAGTTTTGTGTTTTAATGTCCTGCATGTATCTCTCCGCCATGAATGTATTTTACATTTGTATGTTTAAAGCAACAACTATCGTAAAACAATGTCTCAAACATCAGGCAGCGCATTCATACATTTCATGTAGTAACTTTCTCTGAGGGATCTTTTTGAGCGATTAAATTCTTCAGACACCTGCTACCTATCACCACACACACACACACACACACACACACACACACTATCTAAGTCGCTTATCCTCCTGTAAAAAAAAATCTGAACTGGTAAGTTTCTCTAGAACAGGACATTTTACATTAAACGTCTCTTAATGACTTTTTTTTTTTTACATTTGAATGATGTAATTACATAGAAATTTTAAAACATCAGTGGAATTCCTTTTTAAGGTTCACTCTACGGTGTTGATTACTAAAGCTTTGAATTTCATGAGAGTAAAAACCTGCACTCTCACACGAAGATATAGTTTCGGAGTCACAGCTGAATGGAATGAAATGAAAGGCACATGAGACCTTTTCTAATCAATATCAAAGCATAACCACCCTGTTTTGTTAATGCTGCTTTCCATGTAACGTTATACGTTACATTTAGGCACTTATATGCACCTGTATATTTGCTAAGTTTATATTAAATGCACTTTTAACTTTTAACCTGTGGTTAAGATACATGTAAGCTTGGACTCATGGAGATAATCTTCCGTTACATCCGCCTTGCAGACAAATGCAGTTACAGTTACAGTCACTGTACAGCATTTATAAAACCTAGCAATTCTACATTAATACCTCTGAAAATGATGTCGAGGTTCTGTGACCGTATATATTATCGCCCCCTGCTGGAACAGCGGCGTCGTTCATCTTTTGTTTGGTGCTCTTAGCTCTCGTATGCAAATCTGTCTCTATAGAAACTGGCACGTCGAGCAGGAAGGGGAAGTGTGGCTAGCGCTAGTGAAGTTTGTGTCAGCTCGAAATAAAGAGAAGTTTAACCATCGACTCTTCCTGTCCACTGGTGCTGTTTTATCATCGAACAAACAACACGATGGGCACTACAGCCAGTAAATTACCGAAGGATATGCTGTCGGAGTATCAGGTAACTAACTTAACTGCCTGTTTAGCGAGTTAAAGTTGTGGTTTCCGTGGCCAAGTTAACTGTTTTAACTAGCATTACACTTCGTAGCTTCACCACGGCGTTTGTTATATTTCTCAGTCGTCTTAAATTAAGTCAGCTCACAACTTGTCTTGGGAGTAAGTTAATGTCAGTTAGTAAACGTAACGTTGTAGCTAAGTTAGATAGCTCAGTGTAAAACGTAAAGAAGCCATTTTTATGTATTCATTAGCGTTGGTCACTAATTGTTCACTGTAAGAAGTGTTACCCTTCATGTCACAGAAATTGATGTAATAAACTGTTCTTGTCGTTTGTCCTTAGGAGCTCACATTTCTCACGAAGCAGGAGATTTTACTGTAAGTAAAACTGACAGTGTAACGTTACTGTATGTAGCTACCGTTACTCTCTACGTTTGTTGTGTTGAGTTTCTGAAGTGACGTATTACTTGTTACTCACTCATCTGCGTATTAAAGTGGACTTTGATTTATAGCACCCAACAGCAGTGTGTTTTCCGGAAAGTCATATACGCCCTTGAAAAAGACTGTTAAAGGGTTCTTTAGTAAAAGGAATGGTTCTATTTAGAAACAGTAGAAACACTTAAATGTTTCTGCATGGTGAAATGGTTCCATAGATTGATGAAGAATGTCTTGTATATGGTTCTACACAGCACCAAAAGAGTTCTTCTACTGTTACAATGTCAAGATTGTTTCTATACAGAACTCATGGTTTTAAATAGAACCATTCTCTTTACTAAAGAACCCTCAAAGAACCATCTTTTTAAGAGTGCATGTTAGTTACCAGAATGCAGTGAGGGTTATATTTATTTAATTGAACTGTTTTCTAGGGCACATAAGAGATTCAATGAACTCCTGGACAGAGAAGACAGACAGCAAATCAGTGGTTCTCGTGTGTCCATGAATAAAATTCTTACTTTGCCTGAGCTCAAGGTGAGAAATTACAAAGTTATACTATGTCATGGATAGGCTTAAGTGTGTTTCAAGAGCCATTACTCAAGATTTGTAGCTTATCTGATCACAGTCAGTTGCCAAATAGACTGAAGACCCCTGCCCTGCACATTTTAACATTTTCCTGATATAACAGATCTGCTTCAACTCAGGATGGGACTACTAATTAACTGATTCGTTGGATCAGGTGTGTTAAAGCAAGAGAAACTGTAAAACATGCAGGGTATTCCAAGACCAGGTTGGGAAGCACTGATCTTTAAAGTGAGAGATCATTACTATTTTTTAGTCTTTTTCTGATTGTAATCTGGTCTGAACAATGACTGGAACTCACATTTTGTGGTCTCTTTTAAAGAAAATGTCAGACACTGTATATTAGGGTAATAAGCAATTAATTAGGCCAATTTCTACACATACCTATCTCACAGTGGTCTCTCATGATTATAGCAGTCATGATTATCTCATGATTATAGCACTTTCTCTGGCATATAAAGAACCATATACCCATATATCTCTGTAATTTTATGCTCTTGATTCTGTGTCAATCCAGTCAAATCCTTTCCGAAAAAGGATCTGCCAAGTTTTCTCAACCTCTGATTTGAGGGATGGGAGTTTGTCCTTTGAAGATTTCTTGGATCTCCTGAGTGCCTTCAGTGATTCAGCCACCCTCGAAATCAAATCTCATTATGCTTTTAGAATTTTTGGTAAGGCTTGATTAATGGACTCTCAGGAACCCCAAACACATGATCTTTTTTCATTCCCTCTCCTTTTGTCAGCGATGTTAACCACATATTTCACTAAAATAGAGGCCATGTATAAACTTACAAATTTTGTGAAATTCACCTGTGGGACATAATGCCAAAGAACTTTTTCAGTAATCAATTCACAGTATTATTTTATTTAATGTTCCTTTTTCCCAGACTTTGATGACGATGGCACCCTTGACGCTGGAGATCTTGAGAAGCTGGTGAACTGTCTGACTGGAGAAACGGACGACACAAGACTCACTGCTGAGGAGATGAAACAACTCATAAACAATGTGAGTATGATGTATACACAAGAACACTTCTAAATAAATAAGTTACAGTTATTTAATTTTGAAAACCCTTAGTGACTTTGCAGTTATAAAAGACTACCGAATCATCTGTTCTTATAATTGAGTGCATCTTGCAATTATGCAGATTCTTGAGGAATCAGACATTGATAAAGATGGAACGGTAAACCTCTCTGAGTTTCAGCACGTTATCTCCAGGTCTCCTGATTTTGTCAGGTGAGAAACATTTTGCTGTATTCAGTCATAAAGCTGCATAAACTTGAGGTCTGCAGTACTGGTGATATGTGACATGACGTTGTATTTTGCAGTTCATTCAAGATTGTGCTGTGAAACAACTGAAGACGTTTTGCGATCTAGTACGTTCTCAACACGACGTGCACATTTCTCTTTTCCTGACAGTACTACTGCAGTGTGTTCATTTCAACTGCATCCTTTGTGTCAGTATTTCTACTTTTATGTAATTGAAAATATTTGTACATATTCTCTATAAAACCACTAATCTTTCTAACTTGTATTTTAGAGATCTATTTGCATATATTTAATAAAAGCATGTTCTTATACCTGTGTTGATGACTGTCCACTTCAAAATGGTAGGGTCTTCAGTAGGAGATACAGGCCTGTGTGTGGGTCATAAGGGGGAACGCTCCCTTGGAGTAGCAGAAACAAATGTGTTCCACAGCCCACAGACAACATCTTCTACGATCATTCCACCATTTGAGAAGTACTCCACAACTTTAGGTTCATCTGAACTACATTTTGAACCATGACCCAACTGGCCATAGTGACCTGTTACACAAACAAACTGAGCATTAGAGTATATGCTAACTAACCATTTTGTGGATACCATATCTATTAGTCAGTAAAGTATCTTACCCCATCCCCAGGTGTAGAGATTTCCAGAGCCTAAAGAGAAATTCAAAATTATTTTCTAATTCAAATGTCTTCCATTCTGTAGTTCTTCATTAACCTGTAACGAAAGAAAATAAACATGCTCAAGGGTCTTACTTGTAATGGAAGCTGTATGGCGGGATCCACAGCTGACCTTGCTGATCTCAGTCACTTCTGGAACATCCACAAGGGCAGGGAAGGCTTGTATTGAGATGAACACACTATCTTCTCTTTTATTCACTACCAATTCACCTTTCTCTGTAGAGAAACAGTTATGAAAAAGAGAAGGACACAAACACAATGAAAGAAAAACAGAATGCATTGAAAAAATCTGAGACTGACTCACCAGTGTTTGGTGCTCTCTGACTCTGGTCCTTGACACCTTTTGATGGAAGGCCTATTTGACCACTCTCATTCCAGCCCCACACATAGAGATCTCCACCAGCTAGGCACATTAACACATCATACTGAACACTCAAATCCATTCCTCCATATTATCAGCTGCCCATAAGACTAGGCATCTCTCACTCTAAGAAATCTAAGACTTGGTCATCATTCACTTACACAACATCCACATTTACATCCAAACCAAAGATTTTCAGTAAGCTTCAGTAAGCAGTCATTATTAATTTTAAAGTGTTTTGGCTAACTATCATATTGAAGGCATCTGCCAGAGTAAAGCAGCAATTTTGAGAATTTAAAATATCAGTAATCTCAATAATGGCCCCAAAAAAGAATAAAAAACTAAGGTGGCTAAATAAATACATTGATTTATTTGAATTATGTTGAATAAAACTCTCATTAAGCAGTCTTCTAATGTAGGACTATGAATTGTCAGTGTAATTTTTTTTTATATATCCAGGATAACAATCCAGAATCCAGCATACTGCTGATACACTAATAGACTATAAACAGTAAAGTAGATTTAGGGTAGAAACAAAAGGTTTGAAGCTCAAAATAAGGGACAGTTGAATAGCTGAATTTGAGTTGAAATGCTCAGAAAGGAGTGATATTCTCACCACTGATGCATGCTGAGTGCCAGCCCCCTGCAGCCACATATTTCATAGGGACACCCCACAGAGCCTCTAGCGCTCGAGGCTCATTCTCTGAAACCAGACTGCCATGACCCAGCTGGCCATGGCTGCCAAGCAAACACAACAAGTCATGATCCCTAGATATTTTACAGACTGCTTATTAGTGTTCATTCATTTATTAAAAAACAGCACTGCTGGAAAACACCGATTTTAGATTTCCCCACTGATTTTACACACTTCAGGATTCTTTTTCTCACCTGCCAGACCCCCAACTGTAGACAATGCCAGAGGACGTCAGAAGGACAGCATGCTCAGTGCCCAGTGCCAGGCTCACAGCACGCAGTTCAGGAGAAAGGGGTCGAAAAAATGGAGGCTTTGATGCTATGTATCCACCCGGCACCAGCGGTAATGTTACTGTGGGACCTTTTTAAAGTCAGGAAACGAAAATAACAGTCAGCTGGGGGTTCTGAAAACATCAACACAACACGGCCAGCAACACAAACAGAATGCTTCTAGTTTTCAAAACAGGTTTCCCTATAAAACACAGCAGCCTCTGTGCATTACCAGTGTCAGAGGTGTCCTGTACCCCATTTACCCCACTCCAAACAAGTGCATTTCCATTGGGCTTCAAGCTCCAGGACTCCACTCGGTCAGCAAAGCTGAGGGTTAGATATCTCTCACTGATGACAGCATCCACACATCCTTTACTCTCTTTAGCGAGTCCTCTGTGTTCTTCATCTGGGTCACTTATGAACCCTGACATGCAAACATGTGGGTCACCTGCAATTGAATACAATATTGAAAAATACAATAAATACAGGAGATCTTCAATACCTTATATGTACAGACTCCTGACTGACGATGAAATTTAGATAGTAGAACAGCTGAAATTTAAATGCTTCCTTAGACTTTAGAGATGTATGTAGTATTCGTGGAATTTTTTACTTTTTTTGGTAATAGTTTCATATCTCATTGTAACAGCAAAATAATTCAGTGCTGCAACAACACTGCGTTTTTAGAAAATTGCAATGATGCTGAACAATAAATAAAAAGAGCTAAAAAGAAATAAATTATTCACTAAAAATAACATGAGTACACACTTAAAAATGATAGTTCTTCAAGGGTTTTTAGTAAAGTAAAGAACCACGAACATTCAAAGAACCCTTTGCAAAAGGGTTCTATAAAGCACAAAAAAGTCTTCTTTCATAAGAAGCTTGACATTGTAACAATAGAAAAACCCTTTTTGGTGCTATATAGAACCCTTTTCAAAAAGGCCCACTTAGAACCATCTACAGCACATTGTCCATCGATCTGAAGAACCATGTCACCATGCAAAAGGTTCTTTGAGTGATCATGGCTCTATATAGAAGCATGTTCTTTACTTTAAGAACCCTTTAAGAACTATCATTTTAAGTGTGTATCTGTATGGCTGGCTACTATAACTAGAGAAGAAAACAACCAACAACAAAACAAACAAAACCCTCTCACCATCTCTGAGGACGGCAGCTCTCTGGCTCCAACTTGCAACAACTTTGATTTTGTGCTCTGATGTTTCTGACTTATTTTTTGGGCTCAAACTTGTTTTGCCTTCAGAAGAACTGCACAAACTTCCCAGCGCGACTGGGCTGAGCACTTTAGCGGTGTCTTCATCTTTTTCACCCTTTCGTCTGGGGACTATCTGTCCAAAACCATTGAAACCAAAACCAAACCAATTCATTGACTTTAGCCTAATAAAATATAACTTATAATTTATTGAAGTGTGGCAGAAATTAAGCCGCCATCCCTCTTGTGGAGCGATGAAGTGCAAGTGGGCGTCAGAGAAGCCAGCAGCAATTGATGGCATTGCAAAATAAAAGTCATCTGGACAATTAATAGGAATTGCATTAAAAACATAGAATGTGTACAAACAAAATCGCTGTGATATATAATGTACGTATATCCTAATAAAACATTTAAATTAATTATAGAAAGGAAACCTCGTAGTTGCTTAAAACGAACGACTATTGACCAACTCGTTCTGCTAGTTTCTGCTGTACTTCCGTCTCCACATAGCAACGACAAGCAAAGCAGAGAGACGCAGCAGAAGAAAGGAAGCAGCTAAGACGAGCTATGGTAAAGTAGCTGTTCTTATGCAGATATTAATACAAATATTGTTTGACATGTAATCCCTACTTAAGAGGGAATATTTTACAAATACTTTACAGCGTATTTCATCAGTTGTCATTTACAATTGTGTCCTTAAATCACTGCCCACCGGCGTAACTGTGTCTTCAGCTCAGGTAACTTAGCTCGTTAGCTAGCTAACAGTTAGGTTAGTTAACCTAGAGCCTGCCTTGGTGGTCTATTGTTAACTATGGTGTATCCCACCTTTCAAACTTTGGTTTCTTCTCACACTTTATTCCAGGCTGAAGTCGAAGACACACTGAAGAGAATTCAGGCACACAAAGGGGTTATAGGGACCATAGTTGTAAATGCTGAAGGTAAACACCTTTTGTATTTTTCATGATGCTGAGGCTTCTGTACTGGCTGAGTGCAGAGCATTACGTTGGATTACATAACCTGTGTGTTGAATTCAGAGCTGTAGATGCAGAATTTACGAACTTTTACTTGATTTTTACTATCATTGTCTTATTTTTATTATTTTAGTTATTCTATATTTCCCCCCATTTATTTATTTGTTTATTTATTCATTCTATTTTTATGATTATCTTATTTCATTTAATTTCATTTCAAATTAATTCATTTTAATACATTTTTGAACTTATCCTTTTGTTCTTTTTTTCTTTTTATTTTTTGTTATTTTTTAATTATTTGTATTTTTTCTTATTTTGATTTTTATTATTCTTGTTATAATTAATGTTATAATAATGTTATGATTATTGTTTTATTTTTTTACTGTTTTTTATGTATTTTTATTATTAATGTTTTATTTTTTAATACTTACCTGATTTGAGTCATTTTTTATTATTAAATTTACTTTTATTATTTGATATGTTGTTGCTAGGGGTGGGAATCTTTAGGCACCTCACGATTCGATTCGATTACGATTCAGAGGGCTGCGATGCGATTATGAAACGATTATCGATGCATCTTTTTTTCTATACCGGATTTCTATTTTCCTACTGTCTGAGGACTTGGTAATTTTAAAGCAGAGTATTTGTAATGATCCATAATGAACTTACCTCCAATATCTTTTATTAATAAATCAAATGGAAGTGATGTGGCAATTGAAGTAGAAGACTCTCATTCACTGCTATTGTTTGGAGCACATGAGACGCTGCTGCCACTCATCTGCGATAAAATGCAAATAAGATCCTGTGGCCGTGGACGTCCACGCAGCACAAGTTACAGCTATTTTTCCCCTTTTTATTTAGTGATTTTATAACTTCGGTTTTGGTCTCGTTGTAGAGACAGGGAGGGGGGGCGATCGCTGTGTCACTAAAATATCCCTGAGATGGGACGAGTGCAACGTAGCGGGAAAGCCCTGTTTCGCAACGACTAAGGACTGCAAGTCACATAGCAACGAAGCGTTATTCGCATTTATAAGCACTGCAGTTGATTCCTGGCAAGTTAAATCTGCAACTATAGACTGTCGAACACTAAACAGTTGCGAAGCTGGAGTCGCTTCTCTTTCGAATTTTCCCGTTCCACCTTAAATGGTAGCCGCACTTACATTCGGCGCCTCAGTTAGAATTTAAGGTGGAACGGGAAAATTCGAACAAGAAGCTGGAGAATAAGAAGCGACTTCAGCCTCGGAAAACAGTCGAACGCTGAGAGACTTTTTACGAGAAACTGTTCTAGTTTTGAGGAAAAGTTCCCCGAGGGAAAGGGGAGGAAAGCGGCTATAGCTGAAGCTTAAAGCAGAGCGGAGTAAATCTGCATTTTTATTTATATTGTTTAGCCTTTACTAGGACATTATCACATACTGAGACATACTGGACATAAATGTTGTGGCTTCCAAGGTGGTTTGACTTTGTTGAAAGGACAAAATGGCTCTTCTTATTATTTGGGTTGTGACTCCTGACCTGGCTTGTAATGCAGAGGGAGCCGGTCGGATTTCTCGCTCATCCAGTTGTGTTTTTGTTATGTGCCGCCACAGACTGTCCGGGCGCTGCACTTACCCACTTCCAAGTTCCGCCCTTTGCGTTCCGTCAACATTACGTTATAAATTAAATATGTAGAAAATCGATTTTTGACATTTGTGAATCGATTCAGAATCGTTCGCGTCCGCATCGCGACGCATCTAAGAATCGATTTTTTCCCGCACACCTAGTTGTTGCACATTATCAATCCCTTTTTCCTGTATCAACTCGGCAACGTTGTAATTGAGGGTCACCCTCAATGTTCTCCGAGGTTAAATAAAGGTTGATTGATTGATTAAACTTATGGTCATTCTAGAGGAAAAATATTGTAACCTTGTTTACAGTATTAATGTTTTCCATAATACAGTGATAATAATAATGATAATATTAATAATAATAATAACAATAATAATATGAAATATATTATAACTGCTCTAAACGATCATCATCCAAAACCAATGTAATGTTACATTGCTATAATAAACTGCTGCATAAAAAAACTGGTCTTTGACTTTGTTCCTTCAGGTATTCCCATTAGAACAACTCTGGACAATTCTACCACAGTACAGTATGCAGGACTGCTGCTTCAGCTGACGATGAAAGCCAGGAGCACGGTCAGGGATATTGACCCCCAGAACGACCTTACATTCCTACGCATCAGATCCAAAAAACACGAGATCATGGTTGCACCAGGTAAGTCATGTTACAGATCAGGTATGCTAATCGTTGTCTTGATTGTGCTTTTGACCCAGAGAAGAATGATATCCAGCCTAATAACAGTTTTCTTTGCTCTGTTTCAGACAAAGAATATCTACTGATTGTGATTCAGAACCCGAGTGAATAGTATTGCAGGACTGTTTCAGCCATTCACACTTCATGTATGTTAAAAACACCTTATTGATTCATCCTCATTCCTCTGCATTGAGTTCACTGTAAACCCTTTGCCTTACTGGTTTGTCATCTGCCTCTTGAATTAAACTGTTACATTCCTATGAAACACTTGTGAGTCCTACTTTTTCCTACAGAAAATGCTTTGTAATTGAAATAAAATATTATAAAAATGAAAAAGGTTCTTGTGTCTGTTGTTTAAGCTAAGTGAGTTAGAAGATAGCTCAGTGGTTGTTGTAACAGAAGCTGTCTTGGCTGCTGTTGTGGGGATGGGGGCGTTGCAGACTCTAAAACTTTCCACTAGAGGGAGGTATGCTCCATACATTGTGTAGAGAATCAGGACCCAGGCTGTCAGGGTACGTTTAGCATAATTTAACTTTAACTAGGAATTTAACTTGGAACAGTGTAACATTGCCTTCCGTCATTTCTTTAGTTTTATATGATGGACCTCACCCTGGACTATATGTGATATGAGTAAATGCATTTTAAATGTAAATGTATTTTGGTTACAGAATTTATAGAATATAATGATTTTGTTCCCATTTACATCTCTAGTCAGGCAGATATTGCACAGAGCAGTAAACTGGATTACTCAAACTCAGAACTTGGGAATTATCAGAATATTGACTATTGAAAAGCTTGACTTTGGGCTTAAGTTATCTGACTAACTGAGAAAAAAACTTTTTTCATTAAAATAATTAATTTTTTTTTAATTAATTCAAAAAATATTTTAAATACTACTACCACTACTACTACTAGTAATAATAATAATAATTATTATTATTATTAATAATAATAATAATCATTTGAAGCCTCTTTTTCTGTATTATGCCATTGCACCTCATCCTCAGTCCTGTTCTACTAGAAGGGTTTCGCTTACACTAACGTGTATGTATGATTTTTTTCTTTATTAATGAGCAGGGGTTCCGTAGCAGGGCCGGCTCCACAGGTTTTTTGATCTCAGTCTTCTCCTTTATTAATGAGGTGGTCTCTAGCAGGGTTGGGTCTACAGGTTTGCGATTTCAGTCTGTTTACATTAGTGCATTAGAGCCTTCTCTTTTATTAAGGCTGTATGTGCGAGTGTGTAAGGGAGACCCCTCTTTTGTTCCCCCCCGAAAGACTCCACACAGGCAGATTCGTAGACGGATGGTAGATTAATAAATTAAATGGCTGTTATAATTTGATCGGTGAGGTGTACACTCAATATCAGAGTTCATATGCAGCAGCTGTGCTGTGTGGCAGTGGAGAGCACTCTGGTGACACAGGCTTGGCCAGGGCAAACGTCATCTGAAACCTGGCCTCGCTGAAGCCTCAGACCCATACAACGGATTTGCTTTTGCCAGTGTTCTGCTTCAGTGATTCAGCTGCTCATAAAGCTGTTTCTGAAAGGCTATGCATAATGTTCTGGGTCATTACTGTTCAGTTAAGACTATTTTTATTGTTTAGTTTTTTTAAAAAAAAACTTGATCAATCATCCAAATAATCTGTAAAGTTAGAAATATAGTCAGTTATTACAGCCCTAGTTCCCAAAATACTGAATTGTTAATGAATAGAAATTGTTTTATTTATTTTTTCTGACTCCATCTTATTCAAAAGAATATATGCAACTGAAAATTGTTTTCATATCGTTTCCGCTTCCATCATTTTATTTTATGTGTGTATTTGTGTATGTGAACGTGTGGTTTCTGGTCTTAGTTACAACCCACTGAGCTTCTGAGTTAATTAGAGCTTCATCAGCATCAGAGATGCGGGGTTATTGTATGACCTGGCAGCTGGGGGAGAGTGAGTGTAGCACCTATAGAGGCTATAAGAAGAGCTGTTCATACAGCCAAGTCTAAACAGCTCTGTTCAGCACTCTGTGAGGGGAATTAGTGCAGATGCATGATGTGTTCTGTTTCTGTTTTGTGTTATCTGTAGCTAAATCTGGTGAAATCCTCTGTAATATTGAACAAACACTCATTATTCAGTCTCTCAGTGTGGCAATATCACACTATAGATTACACTGGTTTGAGTGTTAACACTCTGAGTGAAAGTGGGACACACACACACACACACATGCTTTCCTGTGAGCTGAGTGTGTGTTTGCCTAAGGGAGATGTGTTGTCTCTTAAATGAGCGGAAGAGGGTGGCCTAATCTTTTCTGCTCTAATTGAGTCATCTTTCATCTTTTCATCTCTCTCTCTCTCTCTCTCTCTCTCTCTCTCTCTCTCTCTCTCTGTCTCATACTGCTGCATCAACCTGTGTGAGGAAAATCCCTAATGTCTGGCTCCTATAATATACAGTATGATATAATATATTCTGTGCAAAAGTCAGAGACCACCTTTCATTTATTTATTTTCCAGTCAAAACAGCTATTAATTACAAGTTTTTCAGCATCAGGAAAAAAACAGAAATATATTAGAGCTTCTTTTTGGGAGACTTGATTTCAGTTTTTTGAAGAAATCTGCAGGGACATTTTTTCCACTTCCAACGTTCAGTCTTAGAAGTTGCATTTTCTGCTTCTCACGAACCAAATATCCCCAAACACATTCAGTGATGCTGAGGTCTGGACTCTGGGGTGGTCAGTACATCGTTCTGAGAACACCAGCAGCTTCTTTTTTGATTTGCAAATGTTCTTTTTTCATTTTCTTTTCTCAGTAATGGCTTCTTAGCAGCTGCACATCCTTTCAGACAGTTCAGATAGTGGAAAGATGGACAGAAACACCTGTGGATTTTTTTCAGATCTGAAGAAAGAGTGGAGCTTGATGTTCTCCTCTCTCTCAAAGATGAAAGCTTTCTGATGGTAACAGTTTTGGTGGTCTACCAGGTCTTGCGTTTTTTGGAAACTCCTGTTTTTTTCACCTATTTCCCTTTGACTTTTTTTTTCATTATGCAAATGGATTTATTTCATGTCTAATCTCCTCAGAAATATCTCCAAAAAATTACTAACTTGTACTTATGGTCATTTTGACTGGAAGTTATATAAACGTAGGGTTGTCTCTGGCTTTTGCACAGTACTTTAAAATATACATCAAACAAAATATTACTTTAAATTTAGACACTTCTCATTGGACCAATCATCATGAAATGTTCACACAATGTAAAGGGCAGCTAAGAATAAAACTAATTTATAATTACATCTATAATTATGTACTATCTGGTTCCTCACCCATAATATCTAGCTCTGGGGTGTCCAGCTGTGGTCCTGGAAGGCCTTCATTCAGCACAGTTTGGTTATTTTCCTCCTCAAACACACCTGACTCAACTCAGCTGTTAATTACCTGGTTTATTTAGTAAGTCTGTGCAGGCAAATCACCGAACTGTACTGGACTCCACACCTCCAGGACCAGAACCGTAAACTCCTGGTCTAGCCACACCAGTCTCCTCTGTCTTTGTGCACCTTGGATGGAAAGTTATGCTGGCCTGACCCCTGTATGGATGCCATCTGCTCTCTGCCCACCTCTCTGCCAGTGTGTGTGTGCTGCTGGCAGGTGGCCTTGGGGCTCTCAGGTTCGCTGGCCCTCCAGCTCTGGCGCCACGGCCTCAGAAAGGCACTGTCAGTGCAAAGCAATTAAGCAAATAATTAACGACCAGGTCAATTAGTGGGATTAAGGGAGAAGAAAGTGGTTCTGGCAAACATGCGGAGAGAGAGAGAGGGAGTGTGTGTGGGGGGTGTTAAAAGAACGCATTGTGTTTTGCAAGGTTTGTTTGTCACTCTTTGGCATGAATGTCTTTGATGGTGACAGTGAAAGCAGCAAATCACCCGTAATTTGCAATATAAGTGCTTAAATGACTGAGAAGCACAGTGTCTCTCTCTCTCTCTCTCTCTCTCACTCTCTCTCTGTCTCTTGCTCATTCTTTCTCTCTTGCTTTCCTCTCTTTCCCGCTTGTGGTCTTTCTCTCTTTTACTTGTTCTTTCTCTCTCTCTCTCTCTTGTTCCTTCTCTCTCGCTCATTTTTTCTTTAACCTCACCATCATTTATCTCCCTCTTCTTCTCCCTCTCTCTCCATCTCTTTCACTCGTTCCTTCTCTCTTGCTCATTCTCTCTATCACTCACTCATCTCACTCTCCCTCTGCCTCTCTCTCTCTCTCTCTTGCTCACCTCTCTCTCCTGTCTTTCTCTCTCTTGTTCTTTCTTTTCTCTCTCATGCTCGTTCTGTCTCCCTCTTGCTCTCTCAGTGTAATTTGTCTTCATCTCCCTGTGCCTCTCTCTATCTCTTGTTCTTTCTCCTTATCTCTGTCCTTCTCCCTCTCTCTCCATCTCTTTCACTCGTTTTTTCTCTCTTGTTCATTCTCTCTCTCTCTCTCTCTCTCTCTCTCTCTCTCTCTCTCTCTCTCTCTCTTTCCCTTTCTCTTTCTCTGTCTTAAATTCTTATCTTAAGGTGAAAGATGAAGAGTTTTACTCAGACAGCTGTGACAGTGAACCATCTGCCAGGAAGCTTACAGATGAGACTGCTACACTTCAGCCTTCACTCAGCCATTTACTCTCTCTCTCTCTCTCTCTCTCTCTCTCTCTCTCTCTCTCTATCTCTCTCTTTCTCTCTATTTAGCATTCAACTTGTCACTTTCATTGTGTATATAAATGTTAATGTATCTAGCTGTACTGAAGCACTGTTAGATTGTTCGCTCTCTTCTGCCTGAGAAAAGGCATTGCTACAGCAGTTGCTAGACTGTTACAGCAGTCACTAGACTATTTACTTGTGATACAAGGGTACAGCTTTGATAACCATTTGCTACATGGACCATAACATTTATTGTACATTGTACGTTTATTGTACATTATTGTAATATTGTTGAGAGTATTTGAAGGTCATTGCATTGTGCTAGGTATGCCTCTGCCTGGAGAATGCAGCTACTTGTCAAACTAAATGTATAGTATTGCTGGAGACATCATTATTTTCCTCAAATGGCCTGAGGCCCGTACATGCATGAGGTGTTTTTATAGCAGCCTGCATTAGCTGAATGCTGAATGCTGTATGGCAGTGCTGTACACAGAGTGGGCTGCTAATGGGGCTGAGGCACCTTTAGAGCGCAATAAAGCCAAATGCAGCGACGCTGCTGCACTGGAATGGTCTTTTATTCACTCTAACCTGTGTGTCTGCCTTTCTGGCTCATGGGAATCTATTAACC